CACGAGCTGAATTCGACGTTCTGGTGATTTCGATGATTGCATTGCACTCGCTATATCAGGGGAGTACGTGTGCAATCGGAGTGCACAAACAGTTTCACTGGTAGTGCGGGTGTCAAGTCGCTGTCGTGAGAAGTTTTATTGACAATGGAAATCGGGAAGTAAAGTTATATAAAAAGCAAACAAACATCAATATTATTTACCCGAGATCGTTAATACCACTTACGATGCAAAATCAGTTCCCTTTATAACAAAAAATAGCAAGCGAAAATTAAGTTAGATCAGTCGTCTGCTGGTGACAGGCAATATATAAATAGGAAGCCATGTGAACACAACACTCCCTTGCAGTGCGGAGCAAAAGGTATGGCTCATCGTCGAAAACCCAAACAAAATACCCGGATGTTATGAGCGGCATTGTATATAGTTTCGCCGATACGATTTCATCAACGCTATTTTTGTAGGGAACACTTGATATTTTTGTGTGAAATAGATGAATATATCCTTTATCACTCAAGGTTAGTAAAATACAAACTTTAAATGATATTGCAGATAAAAAATAGGTTTTTGTCTTACATCGTCGAAAACCCCTGACACTGGGATCTTACATACATGTTTTTCAATTTGCTTCAAACGTATCACTAGAATGTTTTTTCTATTGTGTTCTGGAACAAATTAAAACAAGATCAAATGGGCAGTCCCTATGTAAAGATAGTCATGTCAATATATATGTATTGATTCTTCTATGTTAGCTACTCCTGTTAGTATAATAGCAACCTCCCACAAAGAAAGTCACAATTCAGACATGTTTTGCCAGTTTTTATGGCAGCCATCACAGACTTGAAGCATTTGAAGCCTTCCATTGAAACAGCGACTCAATATCCGTAACAAATGGTGTGGTCCATGGGGGCGATCTGATTTACAGCCCACCACGTCGGGAGTGGCCATAACACCCCACTGACCCATCTCAGTGGCATCTGGTAAAAAGGACTCACAGCTGAGACATAACGATTTGTTTGGTGACGACTGTTGCGTTGTTGACGTTTAGAAGTAATTGTTCAGTGGTCAGGAAGCTGTCGGGGGATGACTATAAAGTGCAAATCAGCCATTTAGTGCTCAGATATTGTGTATACATGTATGTTACAGGCAGTGTGTAAAGTCTGATTCACTCAGTCAGTTTACAAAATTTGAAATATTTCAGTCATCTTACAAACTGATGGAAAAATCTGTCCACTTATAGGTCAGAATTACTAAAAAATATTAAGAAGTTCAATAGGTCATTTAAACCTCTCAATAGTCTAATTACGCTAGGATTAGAAGCCTCCAAAGCATGCTAGCATGCACACACACACTCATGCAACCATGCACGCAACTGTGCACACACACATATACATATATACATACACACTTTTGTTTTCTATCTTTTCATCCTATCATTCTTTTTCTCTCAAGGACATAACCCAACATCAATGTTTGGAACATGTTATAATAAAATACATGGACAGGGTTTTTAGTCAAATAGTGAAACAGTACAGGTGAAATACTTAGGCATTTTGTAAGTTGCCTAAGTGAAAATTCGAGTCATTTCACACATGTACACATGCGAGGTTCATGATTATAACTGAAAATGTATATTTTGATGAAATGTAATATTTATCTGAAAATCTGAAATAAATATTTCACTGGTAAAACAGAATGTTATTCAGATATGTGAAATACAATGTAGCACTTTTTGCCAGAACTATTTGCTGTCAGTTTCCATGACACTTTAGATAAAGTTAACACAGGTAACACAGGTATCACAGGTATCACAGGTAACACAGGTATCACAGGTAACACAGGTATCACAGGTAACACAGGAATATCCCCACCCAGTCAACAATCAATCAGTCTTCTTCAATCAGTCCATTGGTCAGCTGTGTGCAAAATTGGTCATCTGAGTACAGGCTCACGTTTCGGTCATGTCTGACTGGGATGTTTAGAGAATCACCTGGGTCCATTTCCTATGAGAAATCAACTTCTGGCCCATCAATAAACAATACTCAAGTCACGCTGGATAATAAAACACACCCCTTATGGCAGTCAGACCATCTCATCAGCTGAAATAATGGACATTTCATTGCAGCCCAGTGGGCTATCTAACAGATAGTGACCGTCAATGATAGCCAATCAACAATCAAATATTTGCATTTGTGAATAACACTAGATATCGTTTGGGAACCTGTGATATGTGATATGTGATTGTACTCCCTTTTAACAACTTATGAAGCATCACAGTCATGGGCTGTGAGTTTGTCAGCTTGACTTATTCCATGGAGACCAACTGACAGGAATCGGTTAATTCATTTCACCTGATTCAAGCAGGGACAAGAGAATTATGGAACTTGTAGGTGATTGATGCTATTATTTTGTTGAGACAGAATACTTTTAGATTTCTTCTTCAAGAAATACGGGGTGGGATAGCCTAGTGGTTAAAGCGTTCGCTCGTCATGCTGAAGACCCTGGTTTGATTCCCAACATGGGTACAATGCGTGAAGCCCATTTCTGGTGTCCCCTGCTGTGATGTTGCTGGAATATTGCTAAAAGTGGCGTAAACCCAAACTCACTCACTCACTCAAGAAATACTGTTATATTTAGAGGAATAAACAATATTAAAGTTATTTGATTTATTAGTTTTTATTTATTTTAAAGTTTTGTACCACCCTGCAGCAAAACAGGATAAAAAATTGATGAGACAGTTACTTCAGTTCAGTGTTTTTTGGTGTGTAGGGTTGTGTCCCTTTGTTTCGGTAGGATGTGCTGAACATAAGTTTGGATCCCAGATTATCGCTGAATATGGTTCTTGATTTGTCAGATGCATACCTCTGGTCATAACTTAATTTTTCCTTTCCTTTCATCTCCTTATACTCATGCACTCAAAACCTATTCATTCGTACTCTACCCACCCTTGAAGATCCGGGTTAGAATTGATCTTCAGTAACCCATGCTTGTCATAAGAGGCGACTAACTGGATCGGGTGGTCAGGCTCGCTGACTGGGTTGACACATGTCATCGTATCCCAATTGCGTAGATCGTTCATGATGTTTATCACTGGATTGTCTGGTCCAGACTCGATTATTTACAGACCACCGCCATATAGCTGGAATATTGCTGAGTGCAGCGTTAAACAACAAACCAACCAACCAATCGTACTCTGCTCGCTCACTCTTCACTACTCACTTATTCATACACAACTGACTCACTCACTCAATCATAACCTACTCACTCATTGTATTTTCTGAATAGCTGATTTCCAAAGTACATCCACTTTACATTTGTTTTTATCGAAGGACACATTCACAACATGCATTGGGCAGACATCTCACTGTTGGGGCATGATTTGTGATGTGAAAGCATGTATGTACAGTGTTTACCGTTCCAGGACCTGTCAACATTTTTCTAGTGTTTATTTTATTAGACATGCACTTTTTCCATGCACTTTTCATGCGCTCAGGATATTTTTAATCTAGCGTTTTTGTCCTGCTTGAAGGAGGTCATGCTCAATATAAGCGGACAACATCACAACCTGTACAAGTAGATGCTCTGCTTACGTGTAGCTTTGAAAACATTTAATTAATAATTTTAACAATTGAGTTGTAAATCATGATTGCTGTTCAGCTAAGTTTTAAGATGTGAGGTTTACTGATCTTGAGTTCTGGCTATTTAAAGTAACAAACTTTTCTGATTAATCCCTTAACACGGTCTGTCTAAGCTGTAGTTAAATATATCCTACTGATCTTAAAGTGGTCCCATTAAAGAACTTATGACTTTGATTCCGACAGGGCAACTTACACTGGTATAATCATGTTGGAATGTTAATGATGAAGGTTGTAAATCTGGGATGGGGATTAACAATTGTCACAGTTCGGTTGTAGATATTGAATGGTACAGTCTTTGTCCTTGTTTAACCTTGTGGAGCTAGGTAATCATGGTTCTGTAAAGTAGAACTGACAAAACTTTTTCCATAGTTCACAAGAAATCTCTGCTAAAAGCAGAGTCGATTTTAATGTTGTGATTATATCATGAGCATGCATCTAATGTCTCCTTGTCACTTATATAGCTCTTAGTTGTCACTTATATAGCTCTTAGTTGTCACTTATATAGCTCTTAGTTGTCACTTATATAGCTCTTAGTTGTCACTTATATAGCTCTTAGTTGTCACTTATATAGCTCTTAGTTGTCACTTATATAGCTCTTAGTTGTCACTTATATAGCTCTTAGTTGTCACTTATATAGCTCTTAGTTGTCACTTATATAGCTCTTAGTTGTCACTTAACTTAGTTGTCACTTATATAGCTCTTAGTTGTCACTTTTATAGCTCTTAGTTGTCACTTATATAGCTCTTAGTTGTCACTTATATAGCTCTTAGTCACTGTAGCACTTATATAGCTCTTACTTGTCACTTATATAGCTCTTAGTTGCCACTTATATAGCTCTTAGTTGCCACTTATATAGCTCTTAGTTGCCACTTTTATAGCTCTTAGTTGTCACTTAACTAGCTCTTAGTTGTCACTTATATAGCTTTAGTTGTCACTTATATTTGTCACAGTATATTACATAGTCTGATGAGTCCTTGGCTTAACCTGGGCTGTGTCAATTACAGTCACTGGAGTTGTTAAAGTGTTCACTAATCACTTTAAGACCTGTTGGAATTCAATTGCCCACATGGGTACATTTGTGTGTGTGTGCATTTCTGGTGTCCCCTGCCGTGATATTGCTGGAATATTGCTAAGAGAGGTGTAAAACTAAACTCACTCACTCACTCACTTGTTATAACCTCTTAATGCTGAGTCACCAGGCAGGAAAACATCAAGAACTGTAGTTTATTCCCCTTATTTATGATGCAGATGGGTATTGAATCCCTGACTTTAAACTCCATGTATTTACACCTTCCCTCTAGACCACAGTGTAGGTCTCACCATATAGGCTGAACACTGTTAGCTCAAACTACACCACTGCTGTTTCAGATCAGACCATCCTGGAAGCAATAGCGGAGGAATCCAGCTTCTTTAACTACCATCCTGAGGTGAGTATATGCATCAAGAATATGTCTCACAATTCAACAGTGCTTTTTCGATTGTGATGTACAGTCATGCCTTGCCATAACGTGGGTGTTGGGGTCCACTAGTGATCCCCAGCTTTATGCATAACATGGAATAAAGGCCAAATAATATCATATTTCTCTTGTGCACAGCACCACTGCTATTTTGTGTATTGTGTATTTGTGTATATTGTCGTATCGTCGGTGAACAAACAAACTTTAGAAATGAAAATAGGATACTTGCAATCAACTATCATGTGTGATCACTCAGGAATGTTTTTCTGGGAGTCACTAATTACCCTGCCCGCAGTTTAACCAAGACTTGTAATCTTTTTGTGAAATCTAATTTTCAAGTTTTTGGCGTCCATTGCTGTGCAGTTTATTATGAATATGGGATCCATTTCATTCAGCTGAATTGCATTTTTTTTTTTCAAATTCAAATTCAGGCCAGAACAATTTTGTTTCTTGTTTTACGAATTTTTGTCCTCAGAAAACCTAATGGCAGGAGGGAAAAAAAATCGAAACAAAATCACCAGTCAAAGTAATATTCCTTCTAAATACTCAAAGTATTTTACTTTTGGCAATTTATGAAGCGTATATGGGGCTAACTACAACCAACACCGTTTTCTTGTCAGTTTACATTTTTGGCCAATAAAAACATTTGGATTTTATTTTTGAGCTTGGAAAATCAATTTGAATTTTTTTTCTTATTCTTGAAACAATACGACTGGCAGATCCGTAAAACAAGAAATAAAATTGGTCTGGCCTCATGATCAAATTCATAGAACAAATCCAGTGTCCAGTCCACTCTAACAACCATTTGCAACCAATCAGATTGTAGAGTGAAATATACCAAAGTTGAGGTGTATGACCTGACAGTGTTCGCGTGTCCGACTTCATCCCAGGGGGGCTGATACTGCCACGTGACTCCTGTCCATACTGACAAGCTATATACTTTCCTGTGCGACACCTGACCTCAATGAGAGGCATTGATTTATAAGGTGGATGTATGTTTTTCCCCAAGTGCCATTGACTGTGGGTCAGTATATCGCCTAGTACAAGAGATAGATGATGATGATGATGATGATGATGATGATGATGATGATGATGATGAGTGCTTCTATAGCGCTAAGTTCCATACACCAAGTGCACGCTCAAAGCGCATACAAATTAAAGATCATAAGATAGTCTGAAAGGATGGGTCTTGAGCTGAGTTCTGAATGAATCAAATGATGGGGCATGACTTAAGATAGAGGGCAGTTCATTCCACAATTTTGCTGACAGGACAGGTAAAGATTTTCCACCAAAAGTTGCTAACTTGAAATTTGGAACTGTAAAACGACTCTGAGCTTGTGAGCGAAGTGATCTAGCTGGTTTGCGGAGACTGGGCAGGTATGATGGAGCTTCACCATGCTGTGGAGTTGTGGGACTCTTCCCTTTAAAGATGATATCAAATGAAAACTGATAAATGTTTTGTCAGGGTATGTCTCTGACAGTAAATCAACAACACTTTTAGGCATGTTGTGTTGGGACATTGTCCAACTCTGGATCATTTTGAAATTTGTCTCTATTTAAACACTGACTTGCATATACAGACATGAAATATATTATCTTTTCAGTTTGGTCTGAACCTAACTGAAATATTTTGATGGCCTTATTGGGTAGGGCCCAGCTCAGTGAAACGATCTTAGCACTAAGATGATCAAACCAGAGTGCTAAGATTTTTTTTGATTTTTGTTTTTATCATCTTTATTTCCACATTTTACATAGTTCATGAAGAATGCATTCACATAAGTATATTCATACAGATATTCACATACAATATATCAAGTATATTCAATACACTTTCACAAATCCCCTAGAGTGCTTAGATGACAGTAAATTTAATCTCCTATTTGACATATGCTGACGATGGTCACATTGCTAAGATCACTTTGTGGAACAGAGCCCGGATCAAAAGCAGAGTACTTATTATTAACTGGTCATACATGAAGAAACTAGCTATAGTATTTGATTGAAGTTTTAATATTTGGATTGGATCAAGTTTTCTGGCTCAATTCATTTGATTCTCTATCACAAAGAAGCTTCTCCTGCTCTGTCTGTGATGCAGTCCCATAGATAAGGTACATGTGCCCAATATTCACCATGTGTCTGGAACATAATACACCAAAGTCATATCGCCTTTGAGCCCACACTGGGAGTTAATATGGATTATGGGACAGTTTATAAAGAGTCAGTTATCACTGTTTAGGCACAAATAGATTTATTATGGTGACTTGTTCTTTGTATAAGTTTGTAATTGGCTCCGAGTCGGCCATTGATGGAAGTGTCCTTGGATTTTGTGTATGTGTATGAATATAAATGAAGGATTTATGATGGGAGGGGTAGTAGATTTAAAAGGGAAGCTATTTATGAGGCTGTATTAACATAGAACAATTCTTCAAGGGTGAATAGTTTCTGATAAATTTGAATAGTGTTTGGGCTGCATTCAAGAACAACTTTCTTAGTAAAGTACAAGGTGTAGTAGTAATGGAAGTCAGACAACTGGTTGTCTAGACCACATACTTTGTGTACCCAAAATGGAACCAAACCTCTAAAATACTAGAATCTGAACTGTATTAAGAAAGTATAATCCCAAATTTAATACATGTTACATTTACTGACATATTCTACAAGGCACTGTGTATTCATCACTTTCTGGAAATATTTCATCAAAATCACCATCTTGGCACATCTGTTCCAGGATTAAAAGGAGCAGTGGGGTAGCCCAGTGGTTAAAGTGTTCGCTCGTCATGCCAAAGACAAGGGTTCGATTCCCCACATGGGCACAATGTGTGAAGCCCATTTTTGGTGTCCCGCCATGATATTGCTGGAATATTGCTAAAAGTGGCGTAAAACTAAACTCACTCACTCCAGGCTTAAATAGATCAAATATTGAAAAATGTAACTAAATTATATCATAACTACAACTGTTGTGATTGTAAGATAGTTTTTATCGTTACCATTTTTTTGATTATATAACAAAGATCTCATTCATCTTCTGAACCCCAAACAGTCGTCGTTGGTCTTATAGATGTTTAGATATTTCAGACAGACCTCATGGTCAGCAATTAGATCTCGTTTTAGAAACAGTTCAGATTTATAACAATTTCTTTGTCACTTTTGGTTTACAGTTCCGTATAACTGACTTGGTTCTATGGAAGTACTCTTGCAGAAGGGTATTTGTGGTAATGGCTTTCATGCAGAGACATGCATTCCTTGCTACTTCAAGCCATGTACATCATTGTTGTGGGTGTGTTTGGACATGGGTCTGTAAACATTCCAACAATCAATGGAAACATGTATTCAGTCTTATGTTATTTACAGACAGTAAACACCCATTTATTTCAAGAATGGGAGGTTGTGTTTGTCATTTAAGACCAAGGGGTGACAGGTTCATGCCTGTTGATGTCATTTGTACTCAGACCCTTGCTGATCCTTTGAACTTCCTTCTATTAGGAATGAAAGTAATTGTAGTCAAAGTCATAAATTGTGCTGTAGTGTATTTCTGTTGTAATTTGCGAAACAAACTAAAATCGTGTTTTCATTAATCTTGCCTGCCATTCTTCTTGCTATTTTTGGTTCTTTTTGTATATACTTTTCAGGAGTAGGAATCCAGTGGTGTTTTTAAATTAAAAAAAAAGTGCAGGAGAAGGTTTATCAATTGTTTTGTAAATAAAATGACATCATATTTTTTCTCAGCAGTTTTGGAGACCAATATGTTGAGACATTGTTTTGTCCTTGAACTTCAAATTTGCACTTAAGTGTCATTCATCATGATCAAATGTTGCTTACAGTATCAATCACTGGATTGTCTGGTCCAGATTATTTACAGGTTGCTGTCACATAGGTAGAGTATAGCAAACTGCAGCTAAACAGTAAACAAACCTCAGTAACACTGAAAGTACATCAACATAAAGAAACAGACATATTCAGATCTGCTTACCAACAAACAAGAATTTAAAGAACATGTACACAACTTTGTAGGAATGTTTTATGACTGTCGTTAGTTCGTGAACAAGAACATTATCTATGTACTTATTTCTCCATTAATGTCAGATGTTGAAATATACCAATCAGTATTCAAGGTGAATATTTCAATTTCCAAACAAACCTGTGCCCTCTCTGTCCGGGTGATGTCAGGCGACGTATAAAACTGTCAGTTGGGACCATTTGTCACGGAACTGATTAGATTGTCCATTGTTGCGCCCACAAACCCAGATTTCTATAAACAACGCTAGTGAAGCGAAATCGACAATAACAGGTGTCAAGTTGTATTGTAGTGAGGTGGTCTGTGGCGTCATGTCACACCAGGTGTGGGTTATGGACATCTCGAGTGGAAGGAATTACCGGCTTGAATGTCTGTCCCTTGGGAAACTTTGCTGTCCGTGTCAGTCAGTCAGTGTGACCCAAGAATGTCATAATGGTAGTGATTTTTATTGATGTCTGAGTGTGAGCACAGTGAGACTAATTTCCATTTCTTTTTCATTTTAATAGACTTGTTGACCATCATTTATAGTATCTTCAAGGTTTGATGAAATTTGAAAATATATTTTTTTGAAATAAGTAATTTTGTTTATTGCTGTGAGGGCGGTATTTATCAAACAACTTAAGTCATTAATAAGACAAGTCAGTTAAAAAAAGTTAGTTAGAGTTACGTTTTGTCATTTTTGACTTAACTATTAAGACTCACCTTGCTAGGCTTAAATCAACTTGGACCAGTGAATGTCCGTGTTAGAATGAACCTTCAGTAACCCATGCTTGTTGTAAGAGACGACTAACGGGATCGGGTGGTCAGGCTCGCTGGCTTGGTTGCCACATGTCATCGGTTCCCAATTGTGCAGATCAATGCTCATGCTGTTGATCACTGGATTGTCTGGTCCAGACTCAATTATTTACAGACCGCCACCATATAGCTGGAATATTGCTGAGTGCGCATTATTTACAGACCACCACCAAAAGCTGGAATATTGCTTAGTGCGGCAAACTAAACTTACTCACTCACTAAATCAACTTAATTTTGACATGTGAAAATACGGTCCTAGTATGGCAATATTCAAGAGGGATGGTACAACAACAGTTGAGTACTGAGAAAATATTCATAAATATTATTTTAATTCTTGAATTAGATGTTTGTGTAAAGAAGCTTGTGAGCTATGTGAAAAAAACATCCAGCTTTTAAATTTAAAGCTAAACGGTTAAAGCAAGCTTCATTTAATCCTTTGTTTGGTCTTGGTTAGAATGTGTCCCCAACACTCTGTTGTGTATAGATGGTCTTAAGAGGCAACGAAAAATGGACAAGTATTCAGGGTCCCAATCCACAAAGCGTTTGTAACGTTACGACCTGTCGTAACTCAATAGTTTTTCAGAGGCTTATGAAGGTTTTGTTGATCGGGACCCAGACTCTTTCACTTGGTTCATTGTGTGTCATTGTAACCTAATAATGTCAGACATTGTTTATAATATCAGCCACTGTTTTGTCAGGTCCAGACATGACGTATCTGCAGGTCACTGTGATAAGCTACCCATACTGCCTACTGTCGTGTAAAACAACAAACAAATAAAAGTTTTTTCTATATGTTTCAGGTTAAGCATGACCAGAGTCTCGTCATGGTCATACTCTTTGACTTCCAGAGCCGGAAGTTTCAGCACCGTTCCCCCTTCCCGGACGAGGAGCTGGATGAGGTGTGTCAGGAGGTAGAACGTGCAATACTTGACTTCAAGATCAAGCTGAATGCCTGTCTGGCTCGACATCGCATCAAGGCCAGGGCACCCTCTATAGAGTTCCTGCTGCCAGAACAGGTTCGCCAACAGGAGGAAAATAACAAGTTCCAGATGCCAGTGTACATGTGGGTCAACCATCACAAGACGAAGTGAGTCAACAGGGCCTGATTTCAGTTCAGCTAGTTGTTATACATTTAAGGCCAGACCAATTTTATTTCTTGTTTTACTCATTTTTGTCCTCAGAAAACCTAACGGGAGGAGGGAAAAAAAAACAAATAAAATCACCGGTCAAAGTAATATTCCTTCTCTACACTCAAAGTATTTTACTTTTGGCAATTTATGAAGTGTATATGGGGCAAAAAACTATCTAAAAGCAAATATTTACATTTTTGGCCAATAAAAACATTATAATTTTATTTTTTGAGCTGGGAAAATTAACTACGATAGCTTTGTGAAACGGGTCTATTTTCTGTGTTTGAATGTGGAATGTCACTGTAGCAGTGAAACAATCTTGAATGTGACACATCATACACCATTTTACATCACCTTCATGTTAACATAATGGGCTGCATTGGACATTGCATGGACTGTGTTCAGGAACCATAGTGAGCATGAATGCAGGGATACAGTTACACTATCTACTGTAACTTATCTCCCTTTGTTATCCCCCGCCGTGCGTTTAGCGTGATATAGTATTAGGCTCCGTCCGTCTGTCCGCCCGTATGTCTGTCTGTTCGAATTGGAATATCTTAAGAACCGTTCACTAGATTCTTTCATATTTGGTACCTAGGTTCATCACAGTATAAGAAAGGTCCAAGTCAGGTTTGGTGACATTGACCTTCATTTCAAGGTCACAGGGGACTTTAACGTTTTACCTGCATGTGAAGCTATCTCAAGAACCGTTCCCTGGATTTTCTTCATATTCAACCGCTAGTTTTATCTAGGGAATGCACAGGGCCCAGTCGATTTTGGTGACCTTCACATAATTTTCAAGGTCATGGTGACACTTTGAAGATTTCAGCATATTAACCTACATGTTATGCTTGTCAGCGAGATACCTCAAGAACCATTTACTGGAGTTTCTTCATATTTGACACCAAGCTTCATCCAGGGAATGCGCAGGGCCCAGTCGATTTTGGTGACCTTCACTAAATTTTAAGGTCACAGAGACACTTTGGAGATTTCAGCATGTTAACTTGCATGTTAAGATAGTCAGCAAGATATCGCAAAAAATATTCAGTGGATTTTCTTCATATTTAACACCGAGGTTCATCTAGGGAAGGCCCAGGGCCCAGTCAATTTTGGTGACCTTCATGTTCACTGGATTTTCTTCATAGACTTTCAAGACTTCCCTTGAATGTTTTTCAGTAAGCAATTTCTTTACTACTAGTTTTGCATATTTCATACACTATGACATTCATGTCAAGGTCAAAGTCAGTCTTGAAAATATGTGTGTGTTTGAACAACTAAAGAGCAAGATATCAAGAGAGGTTGACATTTAACTTCATCTTAAACTTTCATTACTTTATAAGTTTTATTTGATAATTTGCGGTGGGGGATTTTGTCACCCTAGTGACAATGCTTGTTTCATATGTTCTACATAGAACTCCACCATTGCTTTGCAGTGACTTTCAGGAATGGTCATGCATGTCAAACGTATGTCAAAACAACTGCTGAAATAACTTTCACCATGACTTATGCTTCATAAACTAAGTGCTATCTGAGGATGTTGCTGATGTGATTTCTTTGTCTCCCCAGTTTGTCGGATGTGATCAACAAATTGAAAGAAGAGGGTCATGAGCAAGTGTCGTGTTCAGTGCTAGATTTGAAGGACAAGAAGTTTGTGGTGGACCATCATTGCCCAGATATGCTTGTGTTCGCTCCGGATGCTGCTGAATCCCTCCATAGCCATCCGCTGGTGACGTCAGGTCACATCGTCATGCAGGTAGGTGTTGTCAGGTCACATTGTCATACAGGTAAATGTTGTCAGGTCACATTGTCATGCAGGTTGTTGTCAGGTCACATTGTCATGCAGGTAGGTGTTGTCAGGTCACATTGTCATACAGGTAAATGTTGTCAGGTCACATTGTCATACAGGTAAATGTTGTCAGGTCACATTGTCATGCAGGTTGGTGTTGTCAGGTCATATTGTCATACAGGTAAATGTTGTCAGGTCACATTGTCATGCAGGTAGGTGTTGGCAGGTCACATTGTCATACAGGTAAATGTTGTCAGGTCACATTGTCATGGAGGTAGGTGTTGTCAGGTCACATTGTCATACAGGTAAATGTTGTCAGGTCACATCGTCATGCAGGTTGGTGATGTCAGGTCACATTGTCATACAGGTGAATGTTGTCAGGTCACATCATCAGGTGTCATTGCTAGGTGTCGTGGGAGTCATCCTTTCATGCACCTAAGTGCTGGGTCATTGTTTTTCATGCACATAGGTTTTATCAAGTATAAAAATTGTAATGCAGATAGTTGACATCAGGTCACATTATAATGTACATAGTTTCTGTCAGGTCATATTGTCTCCATAGTAAATGTCATCAGGTCATATTGTCTCAATAGTAAATGTTATCAGTTCATGTTGTCTCCATATTAAATGTCATCAGGTCATATTGTCTCCATAGTAAATGTCATCAGGTCATGTTGCCTCAAAAGTAAATATCATCAGCTCATATTGCCTCGATAGTAAATGTCATCAGGTCATATTGTCTCAATAGTAAATGTCATCAGGTCATATTGCCTCAATAGTATATGTCATCAGGTCATATTGCCTCAATAGTAAATGTCATCAGGTCATATTGTCTCAATAGTAAATGTCATCAGGTCATATTGTCTCCATATTAAATGTCATCAGGTCATATTGCCTCAATAGTAAATATCATCAGGTCATATTGTCTCGATAGTAAATGTCATCAGATCATGTTGCCTCAAAAGTAAATTTCATCAGCTCATATTGCCTCCATAGTAAATGTCATCAGGTCATATTGTCTCAATAGTAAATGTCATCAGGTCATATGGCCTCAATAGTAAATGTCATCAGCTCATATTGCCTCAATAGTATATGTCATCAGTACAGGTCATATTGCCACAATAGTAAATGTCATCAGGTCATATTGTCTCAATAGTAAATGTCATCAGGTCATATTGTCTCAATAGTAAATGTCATCAGGTCATATTTCCTCAATAGTAAATGTCATCAGGTCATATTGTCTCCATATTAAATGTCATTAGGTCATATTGTCTCCATAGTAAATGTCATCAGGTTATATTGCCTCAATGGAAGGTGTCATCAGTTTATAGTATGACAACTTTGGTATCATCAAGTCATGTCACAATATGAGATGCCATCAGGTCATGTTGTCCGATGGTAGATGTTCAGATCATATTGTTATGGAGAATGGTCCATTTTTCATGACAAGACTGAGTCCACATAGACTACCAGCTGTAGATATCCCAGCCACTTGGCATGTGATGGTTGTCATGCAGACATCACATTTGATCACATCTCCATGCTGATAGATCTCTAGATGATTATCCTGCATCCGGAGACTAATCGTCATGGAGGTGTCAACTTGGACCGTTACAATGTTTAATTATAGATCCCGATAACATCCATGTCTTTACCATGTGGATGGTAGTGACAGGGCATGCAGTGGGGGGTTTAATTACTCACATATTGTCATTAAATATACACAGGGCCATCAGTACTGGTTTGATTGGCTCTGTTGGAGGTATCCCCCTGGAGATCAGATGGCATCGATGGACTAACTATTTCATGAGCCTGTCAGTTCGATGACGGCTATATCCGATGGATCCTTATGATGTATGTTTGATGATTCTGTTTTTGAACCCAGGGAAAGGCTGTATACTTATATCACTTGGTGTGTGGTTTATTTAGTTCAAATCAATGGAGAGGCTCCAGTATAGAATAGTTTATGTCAACTTCTAGTTTTAGACGATTAAATGATAGTGATATATAAATTTCAAATTTGGAAAATGCTTTGATTGTTTTTTCTCCTGATTTGTGGCTTCATGGCCATGCTGATTTTAAGGCAAACTGGGTTTGTACTATATGTCATAATCATTGAAATAAATTTCAAAGGAAAAATAAAATTCTTCAAATGGAGACCTTGATGTCAAACTTGTGAAAATATTTAGACCAGTAATTTGCTGTGTTTAGAATGACATGCAATATTTCCTGCTAATGGATGTGAAAATCTCCATCTGTGCTTGAGTTCCCTGCACACCTCTGACAGCAGCCAGTGTTGACTCGGTGCTGTTAGCTGCCTCACGGCGGCTTGTGCAGGTCGATACGGCTGCAGATTTATGTCACCGGAGATGCTGGTACGACATTACCATGCACACAATTTGTTCTGATAGCTGATGAAGGTGCCAGTTAGATCTTTGATGAGGCCATTTTATGGTATTTTGGGAACATTTATTTTGTCCTTGATACATCAGTTAGTTTGTTTTTTATCATTTCAGACTGTTTGATGTCCTTTGATTTTTTTAACAATCAGATATGATTTAGTTATTAGATTTAGTCAAAGGTCGATGCAGTACTTTGGCACAGGATGGCAAAATAAGGTTTGCAAGTGCTAATGTTGTTGCTTACAGTAGCTAGATGGAGAGGTTTTAGGACATAGTAATTTTGTGGTATTATGGAAACACTGACATCTACAAAACTGATCTGGATACAAGAATAGGTGTAAACATAGTAAGAGCTTGTGAAAAACATATCAAATACAAATTTCAAAACCTGTTCCATATCCATAAGAAATCTCTGCTATAAGCAGTGTCGATTAGTACAATTCTGACAATATCACGAGTATGTGTTTGTTTGACGCCGCATTCAGCAGTGTTACAGCTATACCACGTGGTCTGTAAACAATCGAGTGTGGACCAGACAATCTAGTGATTGTCACCATGTGATACGATAACAGAGCATATGTTAATGAATCACTAACAAATAGTGATGATATAGAACAAACTTTATGGATAACAACTTCTTTTTATTCGTGAGTGCGACGTTTCGATACAGATTCTTGTACCGTTGTCAAGCATAATCAAATAGTGATGATACCAGGTGTTTGCGGAAGGTGAGTGTATCCTGCCCCACCAGTGGCACCCGTCATGAACACATGCAAAGACTCGTCACCTCGTCGGGGGAAAATATGTTACAAGTCATAAGAGGGAATTGCATCCAACAACATTTTTGTCACTGATTCATCAAATTTTAAAATGTCCTGCACATGTGTAGCGTTGGTATGAGATGTTTGCTACTCCCAATGTCTTGTAATGTCATCCTGCCGATGAAATTATCTCAATATTATCATAGAGATGGCAAAGTTATAGGTGTTACTAAATTCACCAATGTGCAGTAAATTTCTAACCTTCTCACATATGAATCCCCGATGTGATAGTATCCTATCCATTAGGCTCTCTTTGTTTTTGGACGTGACTTGTAATTATAGGGTAACTAGGATAAACACAACAAACCAGCATCCAAACATCGATCTGGAACTCACATCAATAGTCATCACGGTTTATGTTGCTGTTAGCAATATTCTACTAATATAATGATAATAAATAAATAAATAAAGTTAATATTTATGTAGTGCCTGTTGAAAGAAATTGCTCAGAGGCGCTCAGGCATAGGCAATGTTTTTAGCATTCACTTGAACTGGTTGAGTTCACACATGTCCTGGATGTTGTTTGGAAGATTGTTCAATAACATGGGTTCTGACAGACATTTGCTGTCCGAATTTGAGATAAGTCATGAATTCTGTCTGAGGTCATGACTGGTTTCACCGTTTTCTGCACATGTGTTCCCTTCTCTGTCAGTCAGGTTAAACAGGATATAGCAGGATTTTACTTCTTTCATGTTTAGAGCCCCTGACCAGACTGCGGAATTAGTTGTTTATAGATATAAAAGATGGTACTCGCTGTTACCATTTGTGGCACTCGGCATCAAGTGATCAAACACACATGCATGTCTTGGCTATATAAGTAAAATGATTTTTGAATGTGATGTAAAAATTTATATCACCTGACCTCTTAGATATTTATATTATTGTGTATATGTCATAGTAAGATCTGCCTCCGACAGGAAATATGCCCCAAATCTGACTGGATCTTGGTGAGCATATTCTATGTAATGAAGTGTACAAATGCTGAAAAAATGTCATGGCAATATAAATGAAATATTTGTTAATGTGAAGTTAAACTTCATGTCACCTCACCTCTTCATTATTTATATATACTCATGGAAACAAATTAAGGGAACACATGAAAGTACAAGTGTTCCTTTATTTATTTCCAAAATTTCACCCCCAGTGCAATACATACCTTGTGAAGAAACCTGGAAAAGAATAACGGAACACTCGTTCTTTCATGTGTTCCCTTATTTGTTTCCATGAGTATATATTATTGTGTGCATGTCATAGTAAGATCTGCCTTAGATAGGAAAGATACCACTAGTCTTGAGTGCTTCCAGGGATCTTCAATGAGCATATTCTATGTCATGAAATGTGCAAATGTTTGAAAATATTTAAGTACATGATTCTCGATCTTTATGACGTTCTCATGTTAAGTCTCACATTATTGTTTGATTAATGACAAATTACCTTTCCATGTTGTACGTAATGCTTCATTGCCACTCATTATCCTTCCATTAAATCAATCAATCAATATTTGCTTATCAATATCATGAACACAACGCCACAGGAAAGATCTGACAAGTGATTGATGAGTGTAACGGACATTCTACCAACAGTGCAATGTACGGCGCTACATATATTGATACTCATCCTCTGTCGCCATTGTTTGCCGACATACAGTGACCAAAGCATACAGTGACCGTCACAGCCAGTGATCTGGCACTGGTGTTCGAGGGACAGGATGACAAATCGGAACCTGATTTGTTTATGTGTTTATAGATCGGTTATGTCGATTTTGATTCTGTGTTGTCAATATCTGAAGGGTGTTGTCACATGAAATACACGACCTGTCAGAGCTTTGTCCTCCTAGCTGTTGTATCATAATGGCGATCGATGATCAAAAGGATTTAATTGTGTTGTGCATCCACATATTTCCTCTTTGAACAACATGTACAGCATCGTGGACAATTCAGTATATTTGCAGTGCATGCTGAAGGATTGGTCTTGTGTCATCATGGGTCTGATTTGTTTAAATTTCTGGATGAAATCATGTCATGCATATCGGTTACCAGGACAATTTTCTGGTATTTATGAGAAAAAGAATTGCATTTAAATGATGAACAAAATTGTAGACATAGAAATATTTTTTGCAACGACACAAATTGTTAAGACTGAAAATTCTAGATGTATTAGGAGGTTCTTTTAGCTGGGGTAAACATATTGATTAATGGTATAGATGTTATAGTAAGTTTGGACAATTTACAGTTATCTAGCAGAGAAAATGTTGGGGTCTGTTGCACATTTTTTAAGCTGTCTTCATGTTGAGTATGAATATAGACAGCTTAATGTCATTATCCAGTGCTGACTGTAAACAGACTGACAACATGCAATATTAAAGATATAATTTTTATAATTTAGAGAGATTATTCTGAACAACTCAGTGTTTATGTCCTTGCTGTCAGCATTTAAGCTACTTATACCAGTAATCTGTGTCAGTATTAGTATTTATAAATGAGTCTGTTATGTTTTTATGAACAAATGGCATGCAAGAAATGGTATGTAATTATTAAAAAATGTGTAAGTACACATTTTTCCGTTGCCATTTACTGATTATGATAATATTTGTTACATTGTTGTTATTTTTCAAAAAGAACAATGACATTTTTTGCTGAAGTAATTGTTCGAGGAGATACTGGGCTGTGTCGCAATGCATTAGTCGTACTGACTTCAGGCCCTAAATTTCATTGTCTACCTACATTACGTTACCTCCTGCTTAGAGGACCTAAATCTCACCTATGGCATGCGTCCTATATCTCAGCTCCTGATAGAGGCTTTCCATTGCTCTACCTACTTACTAACAGCCTTTATTTTCTTACTTATTATAGGGGTGGTAGGGTAACCTTGTCGTTAAAGTGTTAGCTCGTCACACCAGAACACCCAGGTTCGATTCCCCACATGGGTACAATGTGTGAAGCCCATTTCTGGTGTCCCCAGCCATGATATTGCTGGAATATTGCTAAAAGCGGCTTAAAACTAAACTCACTCACTCGTACTCGTGCTCGAAATTGCTATGGTCTTAGTCCTGCCTCTTTCATTATGGGGGTGGTGGGGTAGCCTAGTGGTTAAAGCATTTGCCCGTCACCCGAACACTCGGGTTTGATTCCCCACATGGGTGCAATGTGTGAAGCCCATTTCTGGTGTCCCCCACCATGATATTGCTAGAATATTGCTAAAAGCGGCATAAAAGTAAACTCACTCACTCGTACTTATTTTAGGCCCTAAATCCCACTGCTTACTGGTTAGAGGACCTAAATCTTACAGTCTGCTGACTAAAGGGTGTAAATCTCTCTTCTCACTGCTGGAGGACCTAAATCTCCCTTTTTACTGGTTAAAGAAATTGAATCTCACTGCTTACTTACTTCCAGACACCCTCACACATATAGAATATATGTTGTATATTCAGGACAAGTCCAGCTGCCTGGCACCCCACTCCGTCAAGCACCTGCTGAATGAGGAAGATGATGTCATCCATGTCAACATAGGGTCTGGCTTGACCACTGCCCATTTGTCCAGTCTCCTGAAGGGGTCAGGGTCCCACATCTATGCTTTTGACGCCACCTGTGATGCCGAGTCGTACAGAGTGCATCACAACTTTGACCATCTTGGAGTGAGAAGTATCCTTGTGTAGCTATTGCGTGTGGTTGTATTGGCCATCTTGCAACAGGTTGCTAGGAACTAAAACCGAAGACTGCATTGAATGAAGGACAGACAAAGTGGAAGGGGTTAAATGACAATAATATGCCTTCATTTAGTGTGAAAAAATGTGATATTGCACCTTGTCCATCCCTAACACATGCTTATTGCTCAACGTTATCATGAGACTGGATTGGTTGATCAGCTATGATGGCTTGCATGGTGCATGTCACTGTATCCTAGTTATGTAGATCAGTGGTCGGACGTCAATCACAAGTCTGGCCAAGACTGTAATATAGCTGGAATATTGCTGAATGCGTCATTAGACAAACAGACAATAACAAGGTCATGATGCCAGTCGATGCATCAGTGTACACACGAGTAACATTTGCGTGATTGACATGCCTCAGACCCTATGAATTCCTTATTGGTGCGCGTCTGCTGGTCGTTTGCTGGAGTCTCAGATTTGACCAAGTCAGGATCTTTGATCCGTGCCTGCCATGTGGGTTTTTCAAAGTATCAAATCCCATGTGTATATTATGGGGGTATTTCCTTGACCAAGAATCAGATGTTCGCATGATGGCGGACTCCTTCCTGGATGTGGACACAGACGACAGCCGCTTCAAGAATGTGCGTGTTGTCCTGGTAACAGCGGAGTGCAGCAAGTCCGGCATCACCAACCCTGTGGAGTTTGTCATCAGCGAGGGAGAAGGTAAGTGTATACTACATCTTCCTTGGTACAGCAATGGCAGACATCCCATCCTGTAGCTGAGTGACTGACCTGTAGTTTTGAAGCCCTTTTTAGGGACATCTGTCTGAATATTTCAGAATTTTACCCAATGCCATAAAAGAAATTGCCCTGATAACCCCAAAAGTAAAGAGTACTTGCTCTTGTAATAGTCATCTTGATTCCACAGCTGTCTGTATAAGTTAATCTGGAGTCCTGAGTGAACTGTTGGATATAGATTTGTCCACAAGTCCATTATCTGGTAGTAATGTGATGAAGGGTATACTAGCACTGGTACCGAGATTTTTCGGAAAGCCGCCTTCTCAATAATGCGTGCGTCTACACGATATCTAATCAGGATGAAACTCGACAGTGAGTTGATTTTAGTTCCCGACTATTGAATTATTTTATTTCTGAATTATCGCCCGGGCTGTTATTTGGTCCATTTTGGCCCCCCAATTTTCCCCAAATTTCCATTTTACAGCCCTGGCAGCTTTTCCGGAAAATCCTGGTACTTAAATGTTGCATTGAAAATGATAAAGAAATGGAATCAATCACTCAGTCTTCAGTCAATATGTATTTGAAGCACAATGTGTACATACAGGCTTGTCTCCCTTGTTTCAGACATGAAGATACTGCGAGACCTGTCGCTAGGGGAGTCCGACTCATCCCGACTTGGGGAGTTTACATCACGACACAACTTATGGCTCCGGCAGGCCATGAAAAGTAATAATACAGAGTTGATATCAATGATATTTTCTTGCTTGTGTTTTATGTTATGTGGCCAGGCATAGTGACATGGTTGATGGTGTCCTTGTAGCATGGATCACTGTTCATTATATCAATCACTGGTTTGTCTAGTCCAGACTCTATATTCCGTAAAACAACAAACAAGTAAACTTCATTTGCTTTGTGTAAGACAATTCAATGTCACATTCATACTGAGAGGAGACCTGCTGTGCACAGTGTGGGGGCCAGTCCTCCAGCATGAAGCTCATGCTTTTCAAATTGATATTCCACCACGATGTTGGAAACACTTGATTCTGACTGGTCTGTCCGTCAGAGGCTTCAAATCTAATATTCAGCTGATTTGACAGCTGTATTTGAAGCTGTTCTTGATAGAAGAGAACTTCTTTTCAAAACTATAGACTATACTGTTCAACTGTTGATAGGGATGTGGATGCCAGGAAATGGAATCCTGTTATGGCGGATGTGGATCACCGCATGCAGGTCAAACATTGGCTTGCTGTCATGGTGATGTCTTTGGTCTGTAGTTGACAGATTCTTGAGCATTCTGAACTTTTCTTCACTCTAACAGTACTTTGAAGTCTAAAGAGTCTTCATGAATATTTATCTATAATAATATCTTCTATTTAGTTCTCCACATGGGCACAATATGTGAAGCCCCTTTCTGGTGTTCACAGCCGTGATATTGCCAGAATATTGCTAAAAGCGGTGTAAAACCATACTCACTCACTCAGCTAGGAAAAGAATGTTAATCGAATGTTTATTGTCTTTTAGTCACGTATTCACATACTCATTCATTTACTTCTATTCCAGTGCCGAAAGTGCAGGCTGTTGTTTACGTGACCCGGTCTGTGTTTGAGGCGGAGAATGATAACGTGGTACTGAAAGCCGTGGAGTACATGAACATGGTACAAAACAAGAAGGCTGTACCATTCCGCCTTGTACCACCAGTCTTGCCATTTAATGGGGAGGAGATTGAAAATAATGAGGGAATAGTGGGGAAATTCATGAAATTCAAACCGTCCCCCAAAATGAATGGCTGTTTTGTTGCTGTCATTACAAGAGAGGTAAGAAATATTCTTTATAATTTTCATAACGTAATAATAATGTTTAAACAGAATACTACTGAAATTTGGTTGTAGTTTACTTAATGAAACTGCTTACCAGATAGATATAAGAAAATAAAATCAAGAAATATACCTTGTTAATGGTAACATTTTTATGGTTAAACGGATAATTTTGTAGAATAATAGCTTGATGTGACTTTTAGGTTAGAGCTTAAAAAACTGTATTGAGTTCTGAATACACAACGGCATTTAGAAAGTGGTCAAATGAAACACATGTTATATTTGGGGTTACACTTTCTCTGTAAAGTACAGATTCTAGTACTTTTGTTGGATTGAGTCCATCTGGGATTCGAACCCACACTCTCTGTGTCAGGCACCTTATCCCCAGCACACAGTCAGCCATCTAACCCACTCAGCCACCGCTGCTTTCACAATAATTGAAAGTTGGACAACTGGTAGTCAAGACCACAGATTTTGTGTAACCCTCTGACAAGAATAAATAGGCAAGGCACCCAAGGCTGAAAGCTATGAATACACAATGCCATTTAGAAGAGATGCCATTTATTGACCACTTTCTAAGTGCTATAAAGTGTAAAACACATATTGTATTGAGTTCATTAATATAACCATAATTGATTTAACGTTTATTCTTAAGTATTTGGTAAGTACTGTATCCCTAGAAGTGAACTACTGTAGCTAGATAGTTGATTGAAGGGTAGATGGATGATTAATAGAAATGACATGCAGTATCTCAGTCAGTTAGGTTTTACTTGTAGAATCACTGTATGTGTATGTCACTCTTCATGAATGTAGCATGTTTCATTAAGCACTCTAGCATGTTACTATGGTTACATTATTATATATTTTTAAATGAAGTTTCTTTTATTTTTCACTTGGGGAAATATTACATTATGTTTCTGTCCTGAAAGTTTTAAATGACAAATGGCAGATGTTAATAGTTTTGAAACTACTGGATTGTAATTTGAAAAATTGGTTGAGGTTCTTTAAATGTCACATATGGATTACAATTGCAATTATGGTCCTTCAGGCATTTATGTTGTGACTCGTTCCAAAGAATTCTAAATTTACAGATTCTTTCTTGGAAATTTAAAGACATTCTCATAGTGATTCAGGATAAGAATATAACTGGTTATAAGAGTGGATGTAACTGATATTGCTCATAATATCAGTCATGCAGTTTGTCTCCTCCAGACTTGACTTTGTATCCGACATTACATAGCTGGAATATTACTAATTTTTCAAGCAATAAACAAACAAATCAAGAAAGTTTTAAATTGATCAAAATGAGGTAAATTATTTCTTAAAAGATGATCACTACTGACAATGTTTTCTATGTCACTAGCCGGAAGAAGTTAAAGAAACTGCACGGGATATAATTGCACGTGCTGCAGCCAAAGGACTTATGGGTAAACCTGCCCTTAAAGGGGAAGGGGCAGAAAATGGCCGGAGACGGCGAAAATCACCAAAGAGAATTCGGGGGCACGACTTCAGCACCCAATAGTGTCCCAGCTTATCCAAAGCACAACATTTCTGTCAGCAGTCCTGTGTCAAACTATATAAATTCTGCATCACGTTCACCGACACGCACCAACAAAATGTTGATCGGAGCAAGGTTGCATGCCAGTCAGCCACGGTTAGTGTCACCAACATCGCCACAGAAGCCACTTAAATCACTTGTTCCTGAATATGCACGTGTGGTGAAACACCCTGCACCTTTTAGGTGAAGGTCATCTGGTTGAGGTGAAGGTCATGGCCTTGAAGGCAAAGGTCACATGATTGTTGGAGGTCATGTGATTTTACATTTTTATTCTATTTTTACAGTAAAGTTATTGAAGTCTATTTAAATCATTTTTTTGTACCATTGTTTCTCAGATGCTTTTATATTCCGTCCATTCACATAACAACCAACAAGTCATGTGACTCTTTGCCAAGAACTGCAATATGTATTTTTGTACAGTTTGATTTTCCACAAAGCAAGATTATTGCTGAAATTTTATACAATATATGTTTACCTCAAAGACATATTTGAAGAAATTGTATCCTTTTTGAAACAATTCATGCCAAATAAATGTTTAAGCAATATTTGTGATAACAGTAAAAAATTTATCAAACTAAAACTCAACATTAGATTCTAACCTGTGGTTTCAGTAAATCTTGCTTGCATGCTATCACCACTTTTAAATCGTGCATGAAAACTTAATTACAACTTTATCATATTTCCAGATTATGTGGAAAGTGTAACAGTTAACATGTTTATTGATAAATACAAATGTGTATCTATGTGTCGTTTGCTAGGACAGTCTACCTTTCCCTACAGTAAGTGATATGTATGTGTCATGTAATGCAATATTCAACAAGGCCACGCATTTCTTGTCTTTTCTCCTGCGCAAGACGTTGATGTTGTCATGTATTTGTGCGTTGTTTATTTGTTTCAAAAGCTTCTGTCAAGATTTGCTCTTAGGTCGTGGTTCCGTAAATTAAAGCTCCCAATCTCTTCATGACAAATCATTTGTCAGAGAAGATCATGTTTGCATTATTATTCAATGTATTCAACGAATCATCTACATCTTTCAACACACTTGTACCAGATCAGAATATGAGTTTTAGATTTCACTTTAATGATTTTTTAAAAGATATATGGGATTTTCAATATACAGCATTTGATGAAACAGAAATTTAAGATGTTTTCCACATCTAGGAGTGTCATTTAAGCCAGCAAACAGAATCTGACAGAAGTCTTTTGTTACAAGATGTTTCAATTCATTCTCATCAGATAATACACATGCTTATTAGGAATTATTATTGAAATTACGTGGATATCTCAATTTTTCAGGCAAAGTGACTATGATAAGGTGATGGACTTGCAGTTTGTCATCAGTTTCCTATAATATGCATCATGTTATCCTTGTTTAAGCCTGTGGTTAATACAGTGAAACCAGTATCTGATAATTATCCATACTCAGGGCCTAATATGAAATCATCTTGGCCCTGACGAGGATCAATTCCAAATATTGGTCATCCTGAAATGATGAATTTGTCATTTCTTTCACAGTTCATTTTTCATTCTGCACAAAAACTTCTATTTTCAATTCAATTCTGATCTCCAATAATGGATCCTCTTTCTTCCATATATGCATGTGGTGACTTCTTCCTCTTCTTGGTCTACTCCTCTTCCTTTAGACTATCTCAGCACTACAATGATCGTACGTCTGTGTTAAAGTATGGGAGTTACGATGATTGTAGTGCTAAGATCTTTGTGGAATAAGCCCCTTATCACTTTACATATCTTTACATCTCCCTTACATGCTGCTCTGTGTGTAACGCTATCCGTTTCACTGTAAGACTGTTTGCTTCACGTGGGGCTCTTTTCAGATCTCCATGATTTTCAAATCTATTTTTAACCTACATTTCTAAAGTATCTGTTTCGTGAAGTTTTCTTAAGATGTTGCCCATCTCCAACTGAAAATGTTCAAAATCTCAAAATTGTTCCATATTATAACAGTAGCAGATTATTGTTGGACAGTACAGCTGTTCAGCAAAACCTACGCTAACACCTGGATTCATTCCCATGGTTCTCACAATTTCCTGATTTCCACTTCCATTTTACTGAACCAATCTAATGTTGAGCCAGTTTCGATTGACATGTTGAAATCCTTTTCATCAGAAAGAAGTTTGAGAGATTTTTCCTTCTTGTAAGTCAGTTTTTCAATGTTGAATGTCGTAGACTCTCATTGTCTGGCTGTTGATTTAACTGTATCCTAATTGCGTAGATTGATGCTCATGCTGTTGATCACTGGATTGTCTGGGCCAGACTGGATTATTTACAGACTGCCGGCATATAGCTGGAATATTGCTGAGAGCCGCGTTAAACTAAACTCACTAAACTAAACTTCACAAACCCAACATTGAGGCTAGTTTGTAAATCATATTCTGGTATATTAGACTGAGATGCGCAGCTAATCAAACTGGCTCGTGGAAATCAAGGGCAGATAACTTGAGATCATGGGAACCCTGGGAATGAATTTGGGGTTTGTGCAGATAGAGCTATAGAGGATGGTGCTATTCATAAGCAATGAATGAAAAAGTTATATTTCACAGAGTGACATTTGAACAGTTTTACCACACTGAGTGACCAAATCTGCATTATTTTCACCAAGATTTATTAGTGTTTACTCGCCTGTCTGAGTGAGAATCCTGTACCGCCTGTGTGAAGGCAACACCGATATCTCCTCAGACAACCGCGCTCTGCATGCTTGCTTCTTACTATATTCAACCATATTTTCATGTACAATCTTTAAAAAAAGAATATAAAGGTATTCTTTATATCAAGCGATCAAATGTATTATTTCACGGCATCTTAGAAGTAGTAGTTTAATCAGACTTGTGGATTCCAACTTCATTAATCTTTGAATGTAGTGCCAAGACCTTTTCCAGAAAGTGTACAAGTACCTGTACTTAGTGAAAAGGCCACATTGGAAGAATGAGGAAGTGAATATTCCACTCTGTGTCAAATTTAGTGCTAATAATTTTCTTTTGATAAAGAGACCGTCTTTAATTGCAATACTTGCATGTCCAGAGTTTTCATTGAAAAAATGTATTTATGAAACTGATTATTTTGAATTATTATAGATGCGTGGAAGAAAGGTTTGCCTTCATTCTCCCCATAATATCAAGAATGTTTCAGATATTTAGTTGTACCAAGGATAGTTATTCCTGATGACTTCTGTAGAGATATTCCTCCATCAATTTGGACTGTAATATATATCACATCAGTTGTCAACTGTGTATTGCGCAATGTACGCTCATAGCAACCTGTTATGCTGTCAGCTTTCTGCGAACAAAACTTGGTAAAGCGCTTAATATCAAGCTTGTGATTTCTGCACAACAAAAATAGTTTATCTAAAATAATATGATCATATGTTTTAATATGTGGAAGGAGATTCTCCAATTTTAGATGGTTTTGCAAATTTGAAATATAATTTAGTTTTTATGGAAAATTGATGATTTTTGAAATTCAGCATGAAATTTGGTAACTGAAAGAATGGAACTTTTGTGAGAAGGTCAGATTGATATTTCACTTTGTAAAACGATGGAAGATTGAACAGGTGGGTAGATGTTTTTATGAATATTTTGGAAAGAGAAATCCGAGCCTTATATACGAACCAAATATATAAACTGTCTGTGATGTCAAAAAACTGTTGCTGTACAAAAGTGCCATATATATTGTTATTGCCTGTCGTTGATCGACAGTCAGTGATATGAACAAGTTATATCACACATGCTTCGTGCTGGTGCCTGGTGGAAAGATGATGTTTGGTGATGGTAATTGGCAAAACCTGTGATACATTTATATCTCAAAGTGTCTTGTCTATTTCAACTAAATAGGATTGAGAGTATTTTACAGGCATATTTATTAAATTGCTTTCATCAGGTACCTCTTGCACAAAGCGATTTTAGTGCAAAACAAATTATGGAGTTATGATTATCATAGCACTAAGAGTTATGGAGTTATGATTATCATTGCACTAAGAGTTATGGAGTTATGATTATCATAGCACTAAGAGTTATGGAGTTATGACTTTCATTGCACTAAGAGTTATGGAGTTATGATTATCATTGCACTACGAATTATGGAGTTATGATTATCATTGCACTAAGAGTTATGGAGTTATGACTATCATAGCACTAAGAGTTATGGAGTTATGATTATCATTGCACTAAGAGTTATGGAGTTATGATTATCATTGCACTAAGAGTTATGGAGTTATGACTATCATTGCACTAAGAGTTATGGAGTTATGATTATCATTGCACTAAGAGTTATGGAGTTATGATTATCATTGCACTAAGAGCTATGGAGTTATGATTATCATAGCACTAAGAGTTATGGAGTTATGACTATCATTGCACTAAGAGTTATTGAGTTATGATTATCATAGCACTAAGAGTTATGGAGTTATGATTATCATAGCACTAAGAGTTATGGAGTTATGATTATCATTGCACTACGATCACTTTGTGTAAGTGGATTGACCTGAAAAGTGAAAATATACTACACAGAAGAAGATAAGGACCATTCTTCATATCGCTAAAGTTAATCTGTCATAATATTATGGTGGTTCTTAACTTTTTAAAAGTAGTATATCATATGATTAGATGACAATAATTACTTGAATCTGATTGAGTAGGAGCTAGATCCGGAGTTGATACTTTAATATTGCCATGATGATGATGTACCTTGTTAAACTGTGTATCAACATTAAGTAGAAAGTCACAGTGATCTCATGATTACGATTTAGTCTCAGATGTTGAATTTCTCAGTCATGTCTCAGTGAGTTCATTCCAGGCAAATGCTCATGATATTGTACATATTTATTGACAAAACACCTTTATGGCAATACAGTAGGTGTAGAAGTAATTCAGTCAAAAACTGTATTAATCTTACTTGACTGAGTATGGTTTTTACGCCGTTTTTAGCAATATTCCAGCAATATCACGGCGGGGGACACCAGAAATGGGCTTCACAACTTGTACCCATGTGGGGAATCGAACCCGGGCCTTCGGCGTGGCGGGCGAACGCTTTAACCACTAGGCTACCCCACCGCCCCAATCTTACTTGAAAGTTGAGATGTGGTTGTAGTTTGTAATGAGGTATGGGCTGGGTGGGTGTATGGGGGAGAGGGGACTGGGGAGAAACTTGGTTGATTGAGGGGAAAGGGGGTTTTAGAGGGGAGGGGGTTTGATAGTTTGTTTGGTTTACAGTAAAGTACAGGGCCTAGACTTTCGAAGCTCTCTTAGCGCTAAGATAGTCGTAAAGTCATGTTAATGTATGGCACTTACGACTATCTTAGCGCTATGAGAAAATCTAGGTCATGGTTGGTACCGGTTGGTTGCAGGGGTAAAAGTTGTCCAGGATTGGGTGGGTTTGGGAGGAGAGCTGGGGATAGGGGGAGAGTGTGTAGGGTGAGAAGGTTGGAGGGTGTAGGGTCTGAGGGTTTAGGGTCTGAGGGTTTAGGGTGAGAAGGTTTAATAAGAAGGGTTGGTGTGGGAGAGATGTTTATTAATAATTGTTGGGACATTTTCGGTGTAAACAGTGGTGGCTTGCCAAGGGGGCTGTATGTGGTGGGTGGTAGGTGGTAAGTTCATGATAACTAAGCATGACTATAGGATGGTAATAGATAATAGAGGGTAATGTATATAAAGGGAGCTAGACTGGTGCTTTAAGTCAGTAATTGTGCAGCATAATCCCTTTACGATTTTTGTTTCAACACAGTTTCTTTTTTGTTTGCATAATTTCAGGTGATAATATTGGGGTATGTGCACAAGGTATCTGTGCATATGACAGTTTAGTTTCAAAATTGACAACTTTCTTGTCTGTTTGAATTACCATGAGCACTTAATTTGTTAATGAACTAATTTTATTGCTGAATAAACACATGAATAATTCCACCTTGCACTGTTGTTTTTGCACATATTTTACACTAATGAACAGAGCACTCATGATTTGAAATATGACAATGTATTCTGTCTTTTGTTTTTTCATTTTCAATATGGTTTTGCCAGTGTCACACTTGCTGGCTTTGTGGAATTCTTGGAAAGTGTAAAAGTGTCTCACTCTTCTGTAGATAAGTTACATGTGTACAAGAGGGTTAATACTGATGATACTTAACCCGCTTCATGAGGATGGGTCTGGGGATGTGTCATACTCAAAGGGGAGGGTATGACAGCTTAAATACAGATGTAGGACAAATATGGGAGCTCCTTAACTTCTTTTGTGATGTATGACAAATATTGGAGTTCTTTATATACATTGTACCTGATGTAGTGAGGTCACCTTAAAAGGTTTTAAAACTATAGTAACTTGCATACCATACTTGCTGTAAATAGCACAAAGGTGCTTGGAAAATGGACAAAGTGCTTATTCTAACTTTACAGAATGAGTTCAGATGTGTCATTAGTTCTAGTGGGGGTAAACAAACTTTGTTGTAATTGCTATTCTTTTTTCTGCAGAAAGTCATGTATTTATTTGTTATGTATTTATACATGAGAAAATACAGACTGTAAGGTTTTATTTTTGTAGGGAATTTTTATAATGATTACTTACACACTGGTCTAGCAGTTAGTCAGGTGCTTAACATGGCCGATATGGTCCACCTACATTGACAAACTGCTTCATTGCTTTGGGAAAGTCAGATTGACGCCAATTCAAAACTCATGTTGTTGAACTATATGAAGAATTAAGATCACTTATACAAGTAGCACCAAGTGTTCCTTTTATCAAACGCTGATATACCAAGTTATGGATTTCTGTTTGTATATATTTGTCGGACAAAGATGTTATTTTTAATGTGAGTTATTTTTTTTTCTTAAAAGAAAGGCGACAGAAAAGGGAGGAAGTAAACCCAGGTGAGATGCATTATGGTATTGTTTGTGTTTGGGAGTTCATTGCTAACATTTGTGGTGTGGTATTCACAGATATATCTGAGAAAGCTGAATGTGTCTGTATTTGTTCCTCAAAACAGTATGAACGTTCTATGCACTCATATCATATGAACCATCATGATGAGGTTGTGATACCGGTGTTGCGGTTAATTGTGATGGAAGAATTCAGTGGCCATCCTGAATGTATAAAACCAACAAAACTATGGGTCATTATGTAGGTGAGTGAGTGAGTGAGTGAGTTTAGTTTTACGTCCCTTTTAGCAATATTCCAGCAATATCACAGTGGGAACACCAGAAATGTGCTTCACATATTGTACCCATAGGGGAATCGAACCCTGGTCTTCGGCGTGACAAAGCAACGCTTTAACCACAAGGCTACCCCACTGCCCTGGGTTATTATGTGGAGTCATAGGGCATGGATATAGGTCCACTCTTGATAAGGATACTTTTAGTTTTAGATGAGTCCCAAAACTGACGTCGTTGATGATGTGTCATCTTACTGTATCGTTGCTCACAATATTGATCACTGGATTTTCTGGTCCAGACTTTTATATTTACGAACCCCTCATATAGCAGAATGCTGCTAAGTGTGACACAAACAACCATGCTGGTTAATGCCTGTTTTCCGTATGTTTGGAGACCTGAGTAAAATATCCTACATTTAAGATCTAGAAAGATTAAGCACATTTCAGGGTTGGGTGCTTGAAGAAGCTTGCTTTTAAGCTTTCACACATTACATGCATCTAAAGGGAGAATGGTCTAATGGTTTAAGAGAGTTTGATCCATAAATCCAAACTGGTGCTAATTCTGAAGCTGATTCTCAGAGTCTCTTGCAGTGCTGTGGTGGACAGATTGCTTAAAGCTGCGTAAAATAAATGCCGACATGGCTCAAAAGTGGAAGAGGAAATAACATAACAGGAAGCAGTGAAAAGCACAGTGTATCCTAACCCCAGTGTCTGTTGTTTATTGTGACTAACTCACCTGTCCACTGTTGGTCCACAGGGGCCGCAGAAGAATGAGCTTCTGACTCATACAGGTATTACACGTTATCATTTGCACAGGTGTGACAAGTCACACAATATGCACAGGTATGACAAGTCACACAATATGCACAGGTGTGACAAGTCACCACAATATTCACAGGAATGAAAGGTCACATGATATGCTAAGATGTGACAAGTCAAATGATATTCACACCTATGAGAAGTCACATGATATTCACAGGTATGACAATTCACATGATATGCACAGGTGTGACATGTCACATGATATTCACAGGTATGACAATTCACACGATATGCACAGGTGCGACATGTCACATGATATTCACAGGTATGACAATTTGCATGATATGCACATATATGTGACAAGTCACGTGATATTCACATCAATCAAATGTCGCATAATATGCACAGGTGTGACACATTACACTGGTATTACGCTTCATATGACAGGAACAGCTAATTAATGACACATATGAACAGGTATCATGTCATGATATGCATGGGTTGGACACATTGCATGATAGATACAGGTATGATATGTCACATGGTATGTACAGGTATGATGCATCATATGACATGCACAGCTATGTCATGACTTGAACAAGTATGAAACAGCATATGCACAGGTATGACATGTAAAACCTTACGCACAAATTTGAAACAATAAGTGATATGTATGTGAATTACATTTCAGATAAATGTGTATAGTATGACATATCATATGATGTTGCTGATGTGACCTGTCACTATATGTCCAGTACACAGGAGCAATCAAAAGGGTGCTCATTCAGTTACAATTTTCTGTTAATTCATATGTACAGACAAACTATACATTGCTATAAAACGATATAATGATAACTTTAGGATTGACTCATGAGAAAATGCTTGCACAATCGACACGGTTGAATTAAAAAGTAAAAATTTGCCCTTCAAAAGAGTTCAAAGAAACCGATAACAGCAAGCCTTTTTCAATTTCTCAGTGCTGGTGGACCACATAATAGAAGATGAGTTACCTCCCTTGTGCTGGCTGACAACAAGGAGATTCCTGACAATCAACCTGACGAAGTGAAGACTGAGGAGTTTGATTTCACCTCTGGACAAGACCTTTCTCAATCACTGTACACAGGGTGTCTGTTCTCAGTTGTATTGAAATTCTGTCACGTTAGTGACTAGTGATGTGATGTGTCTTCGTAATAGAAGAAATGGTTGGATCCTTGAGTTGAAAACTATCATTTTCATGTTTATAACAGTGTTCAGAGTTGCAATCACACCTGTGAATAAAATTCACTACACATAGATTGGTGTTATTTTGTTTATTTTGAAAGGTGTGTAACGTTAGATGGCATCTATTTGGTGTGAGGGCAGTGTGCGAAATAGTTTCCAAATTTTGCTAGCCAGTCGGACTAGCTATGCCTGAAAGTTACTAGCGCACAAAATAATTCACTAGGCAGAAATTTGATTGTAGAAACTAAGCAAAAAGATTACAAAAATAGATGAGAATAAGATAGTGTCGGCATGACACGGGGTTTCATCATTAAGCTACTAATATGATGAACATATTTTTATTTTGATCTTGCAAGAGTTAAAAGTGTATTATAACTTACCAAGTTGGAGAGAGTGATATATTTAAAAAATGACCCCAAGCAAATTCACAAGCCAGTCGGGCCAGTGACTGTGGAGATTCACTGGCCCCGACTGGATTTTTACAAGCCACGGGCTAGCAGGCCAGTGGCTATTTCGCACACTGTGTGAGGGAGTATGCAGAAACATCAGCAGTATTTTGATGAGTTTTGTCTAAATACAGCCACTAAGGTATGCAGGATCTGATTCACAAAGAGTTCCTAATGTTACTACTTATCGTAACCCCCTACTTTATGGGCTTACAAATGACATACTGCTACGAATGTGTTGTGGATCAAGCCCCAGCCCCTTTGAACAACATTACAGTTATTTCACAGTGTTTCAGATGGAGGTGGGAGCTAAGATTGGAGTAATGTGATGCAGGCGTGGTATTCATAAAAGAAGTTAAGTCTGAAATAAAACTTTTGTTTTGACTCTGGAAAATTCTTAGTTTCTTTATGAATACACCCCAGATTGTAGATGTTTACCATGTACACATGGTGCTGATAGACCAAGAAACATCATTAGGATGAATGGGCACTCAAACCCACGACCATATCTTTGTAGAGTGACTTGCAACTCCATTGACAACTGGACCACCTTTGTTCTATTTCAGTTCACAGTCAGGACAAATGGAAGTCTGATTCCACCATGCATCAATCTGTTTCGTATGTGACTGAGATTTGTCAACATCACCCTACTGGAAGTGTATTAGAGGGAATCATTGTATCAGTATATTGTGTGAGGTATGTCTCTTCACCAGGGAGTTTAAGAGGCAGGTATTTGGTTGAAGCCCTGTTGCTGCTTTCTGGAACAATCACTGCTTCCCGGCTTGGTTTAGGCCCTGTTAATCATGTCTGATTACTAGGGAGATGTTTGGTTGAAGCTCTGTTCCTGCTTTCTGTGACATCACTGCATGAGAATTGATGGGAAGCAGGCATGGATAAGATGCTGACCTATCAAGGATTGTATAAAGGGAGTGAACAGGAAGCCAGAAGATCCTGGGGCAGCCAAGGGGAAGCAACTCTGGACAGTGCCACCTATACTGATAACGCCTGGCAGTGATAACCTATTCAAAGCAGTATTAAACCCACTCACTCCTGTGATAAATGTCTGTATCACATGGCAGTTACTCCACGTCTTACACAGAACACAAGTCATCATTGCATAATATATTTATTAGCCTCTGTCATCCTCCTGTGTTGTGACTTGCACGAGTAATTATCAGCACAACTCTGATGCCAACACACCTGCAAGCCATACCTATAGGTAGATCTACTATCCAACATTTGCAAGGTAATGCAATGGAGAGTAACCCTTTCTCTGCTAAGTACTGGATGAGAATGTGTGTTTCAGGTAAATTGATGTCATGAGCAATGCAGCTTGTTTTCGCTGAAATCAAATGTTGGCAAAAGTTCAAAAAGTACAAAATCTGGAACAAGGACTTTTGCAATGTTTTTAGGTATGTCACATTTTCAAATTATCTGTGCAAAAACAGACACAAGACAGTTTGTTTGGATAATTAGTCTGTTCAAGACATGCAACTCCTTAACACACATTTTCATAAAAAAACATGGATAACATCTCTTGGCAAGTTGAGATGAAAACTTTGAAAAGTTTTTCTGAAATAACCACGTTCATAAAGTTGTTTTCTAAAAGGCATCTATAATTTTGCAATCATAACAGCTCACAGGGGAGATTCCTTATGAGAAACCTGAAACCACTGCAAATTTTCAGTTCAATAAATTTTACCCAATAAAACACACAAATGATGTACCATAATTCATCAAGTGACAAACATATTTAACCCAAACCAATAAACCATCTATCGAATTTAGCAGAAAAAGGGTTAACAATCACTTCTATTACAAGCTAAATTGTATCGACAACTGTGAAACACTTAAATAAAACAGTTTTTATGCACAAATATAGTTGAGTATTTGAAGAACAGAGACCCATGGACAAGCTAAAACAGAAATGCGTTGTAACGAACTGTTCGGCGCTGCTGCTGACAGAGTAACTTCAGACAACATCTGATACTCAGTTGGCTGTTTTAATCATAAATACAATATGGCATTTATAGCCGTAACACTTCATAAAGTGCTGTTATTATGTGATAATAAATGACATCTACGGTAACTATATAACTATCAATGATTACACAACTAGAACTATCTATACTGTGACTAGAATACCTATAGAGATCAGGAATAGTACTGGAACTATAGTATTGTATTACTATTATTATTATTAATAATAATATGCATGATATGCTTAAAATACAATAATTGATGATACAAAATGTTTTTTGAGTTTTCTTTTGATGTAAGGTTTTGAAGAAATCGTTTGATTTTTTGAAGAATTGATTCTAACCAATGAATGGAATCACATTTTTGTTTCTAGCAGCAGAAAGATTTTAAAACAAATGGTACAGTCTTAAAAGCAACAAATGTATAACATTTAAAACATGATTAACGTGTTTGAATTATCACAGAACACACACACAACCAACACTGACTTGCTGTAGCAAATAAATTAAATAGTTCTAAAATAAACAGGAATGTTAGATCCTTGTATGGTGCAAAATGCCTGGGTACCACCAGCAGAGTCTATCACGCAAACCTTGATAACTAACACAGTCAAGGTACAAATACAGATATGTTAAATGTAGTAAATATCTACACAATACTCATATTCGCAAAGGGCTGGCATGGTGAATTTCATCCATTTTCCTTGACATAAATCGGTGAAATTGTAAAGCTATTTCATTTTGTTGGATCTCTTTTGATGAGTGAGTGAGTGAAAGAGTATGGCTTTACTCAAGTGTCAGCAATATTCCAGCAAATATCACTGTAGAGAGCATCAGGACTTCGTAGTAGAAGTGAGGAGAATCGAACCTGGACATTTGGTGTGACGAGCAAACACTTTAACCACCAGCCTACCACGATGCCACCTCATTAGATAAGATACCATTTTGATTTCAACTTCTATAAAATGTGGCATATGTCTTGATTCAGAGGTGTAAGTTAAAAAGAGATGTGTATATTTATATAAATTCATTTGATCAAAATTACAAAAATTTGAGTGCTGGATCTATGAAAGACAAGTAAATATTTGTGTAATGTACAAATACGTACATTTCCATTAACTACAGAATATGAAACAAACAGGTGGTCTGTAACATGCTTTAGACATATAATTAGTTGGACAAAAGTTATCTGAAACTTTAGAAAATGGATAAATTCATGGAAATTGCACATTGCCGATGACAGCCAGACTCTTTCTATAGAAAATGTGACAAATTTGTACAGTTAAAGGGACTTGCATGTTAAAAGTGCTTCCTACACAGAAATTACAAACAAGTACTGTTGAAAGACTCAACCTGTAGTTCCTAAATACTAAATATCTTCATGCAGTTTGCTATAAGTGAAGGTTGAGAAAGGGACACGTAACTCAACAACAGTTGCACATTTCACAAATAGACGCGTCACTTTCACAAAGCTGACATAGACATCCCTTCTGCAGCAAATATCGTATTATTGCTTTGAGAGGACACAGAACATGAGACAATGTCAAGGACAGGTGAGACACACAACTTGATAATAATTCACAAGCTGGAACCTGTGACTAATTCATCACTGAAACATCTTGAGCAAAGGCTGGGAAAACAGGCTATACAAAGGAATGGTAAATTTTGAGCAAAGTAAGTCGAAGCTTGCAAAGACGAAATGCACATTTCAAACCAATTTTCAAGTATGATCTACATATGAATTTTAATGATAAATACTGATATTAATTATGTGCATAAATTTAAATAGAACGTAAAATATAAATGCACAGGGATGAAGACTCATGCTGCAGAAGGGATCATCATTACCATGGACCAGCCGGCTAAACAGACCAGCGCACAACAGCACCTACTGTTTATACACACCACACAGCCAGAAGCAGAACTGGCTGATCCATTAAGCAAATTGATTCAAATTACAGCTTTAGACAAGACATCTGACCATCGAAAAAAGAAGAAAATGAGTGTTAAGGCCACTGTGATCAAAGGGGGCAAAGTCAAAATTTTAAGAAATTCCATATATTGATATTCAAATTGATTTTCTCGACTTGCTGATTCACACAGTTAAATTACAGAATATCTTTACGGAAAACAATTACATGGAAACGTTCTGCTCAGCAGAATGACAACAGATTTTTCATTTGGTAAACTGTTTCAAATATATAAATTAAATTCCAAAAAGAGTTGGGTTCCAAAGTTCTTTCAGCCCATGATATCCAGTTTTAAATAAAACTGGTTTGATGAAATTGAATTCAAAATTTAAACAATGTCCCTCTCAAACGCATGCTCACTCATTGTAAGTTAGCATGAGAGGGTAGGGTTCATTTTCTTATTATTTTGCTAACATGTACACAAAACAATGACAAGACAAGACAATTAGGAAAGAGAAAAGAGCTCAGAAAAACAACATTTATGCATGACTGCATGAAGATGCAGGGAGACATATACCATTTATGATAATCAAGTCTGAAAATGGTAATAATTTCAATGTCAGTAAATTCTTCAGCAACCTTTACACGTTGAACTTTGCTGGCGATGCCAAATACTGCAACTGGGGCTATCTCACAGAGCTCCACAGCATTACTGGACAACCCTGCATGGAGTCACACAGCAAAATGGGAGGTAACTCTGCCAGTTAAAACTATTTGCTGCTGGAAAAAAATATTAACACTTTCACTGTGTCTTTGCATTTTGGTTTGATAGCATTAGTTAACAGAAGTCTGGTTATGTAAATCAATCACTGATAAATGCTGTATTGGGCCATGAAGTTGGTTTCTCTAATAGCCACCATTTTGGTCTTTAGTACCATATTCCGTACAATCCTTAATGCTGTCACAAGTAACACAAACCTATGTTGGAGAATACGTCTCTAATGCCAGATCAATTTAAATGTTCTTAAATATTATGTTTTCTTTCATGCTTTAAATTCCATTTGACAACTTTTATTTTTATAAAAATAACCTCAAATCAGTTTTAAAAAAGACATGCTTATTACTTCTTTCTTTAGTTTCACAAATGGCGAATCAATTGTTCTGAGCTAATACATAAATGCAAGTATTGAGAAACATAATCAGTTACCAGTTAATCCAGACAGGTGATCCAGATCTATGTGTCTAGTTTCACTGCATTGTAATAACATGAAGACAACAGCAACACCAAGTCTTGATTAGGTATAATTATGCAACGTTAGTAATTGTTCATTGACATGTTTGATTCAACAAGTTTGGAATATAATTTACATCTTTAGGATTTCTATAAAATAAGTTTGAACAGCACACAAAACTGTGACTGTTTTTTTAGTTTTCAAAGAGCCTAATAAAACAGAACTTGATTTATTTCAACTTTGAAATTAACTCTGTAACCAAAATTTGAATATACATTTTTAAACACAGAACACTGATATGTGTATTTCAAAGAACAAAAATAATGTATATTATAAAAATGGATATAAAAATCAATTCAAAATAAAAGTACTAAAAGCATAAAACATTGTAACTAACAAAAATGCAGTGATCAATAATTGAGAGATCCCTTACACATTATGAGAAAATATATGTTTTTCTTTGACAGAAAAACGGAAGTGATACATTACGATTCATCGTTATCATTATTTTTCACAGCTACAGAAAATACCAGCAGTAACTAATGTTATATACACATTGCATTTCTTCGAGAACAGTTTTGATTCGATGAACAAAATATTTTTACAACTATGCATCAGCAGGAAATAAATGATGTGAAGAAAACCAAACTAGTTCAGATGAATGGCAGTACCAGGAATATGATGCAAACATTTCTGTTAAATTCTAAATGCCTTCCCACGAAAACCTTTTAAAACAAATCTCTGTTGAAAAATGGCTAACAAGGAAAGCAATAATATTCATTTGACAACTGTCTAAGTAAGAGAACTACAAGTGGACTGACTGACTGAGTTTGGTTTTATGCCGCTTTTAGCAATATTCCAGCAACATCACGACGGGGGACACCAGAAATGGGCTTCACGCATTGTACCCATGTGGGGATTCGAACCCGGGTCTTCAGCGTGACAAGCCAACGCTTTAACCACTAGGCTACCCCACTGCCCCCTACTACAAGTGGAACAAACTAAGGTGTTATAGTATGAATGCATTATCAACACAAGGGCGTTATTATCTATGCAATATTCAATTGTATATCATCCTTATAAAAAAACAACTGTGGTCAGTTTCTCATATAGTAGGTACCGTTTGCCATAATTGTATCCAAAGTGTTGTAACCAAATGTTTTACCTTGTGTTTTATGCAATGGTTTGTAAGTTTATGAGTCTGAGTCAGCACCCAATACATTGACAGAATGACATGAGTACAGGAAACTTGTGACAATGAATGTGTTCCTGCTGTGTTTCTACCCTGTTCAATAGAATGAAAACTTGACCATACTCAACACCCACCTCCAAGTTGTAAAGTAAATGCATTGATCATCTTTCCCTAAAGCTCCCAACCTATCATTGCACAAGCCCATGTACAACCCTGGGCAATATGTAGGACTTTGGGGTTACTGTAGCACTAGTTTTGCCATGTTTCAATGGCACAATAATCCAAACATTTACAATTTTACTGCCATGAATTAATAAAACTGGTATATATACAATCAAAATCAAAATTATTTCCCCTTTTTGTCTCTCCTTTTTAATCCTATCTAATTGTGTCACCAAAACGTTACATTTTAAAAGTCCTAATACCTAAGTATAGGTGCGTACAGTACATTGTATTATGATACACCTGTATTGTTAACGGTTACTATCATACATACAAATACAGGCTACAGCCATTTATGTTGGAGTAAAAGGCTGGTAATAATATATCATGCTTTGTTAAAATCACACAAACAAAAATTTGCATTAACTTGACAAAGGCATAATAAATTGGTTTTCAGGTCTAAAACAACAAATAAAGTATTATCACATTCTATGGTTAGTTTAGCCATTTTGTTTCTAAACATTGCAAAACAGATTGTAAAATACTGTGTCAATTCTAGTATGACCAATAATATACATAAAATAACAATGAACTCTTACTGCTGTCTAACAATAAAACATACATCAACATACTTGAGTGATCCTTCAAAGAATCTGAACAAGTGGTTAGGAAAATCATATCCAGTGAACAAGCTCTAGTAACATGTAAGTTGGTGGAGTCCAAGGCAAGTCAAATGGGGGTGTCAGGATCTTACTACGGCGAAACCATGCTCATCCTGGTGGAGAATTAACAACGAAATTATCCCAATTTCAAATTTCACGATTAAAGAATCATGGTCACCGAGTTATGTCACTTTGTATAAATGTAACCGTTCCAGTAGTGATCTTTTAGAAGGTGGGCTTTCGGATGATGAGATTTGAAAAAAACATCGTTTCACTGAACATCCCTCAGAATGAGACTTTGATTGACTTACTGTACATAAGCAAATACAGTCAATTTTGATGTGTACAACAGACTAATGGTGTATGTATACCACAATATGCAGGTGTAAACAGAGACATTGAAATACACACTTGTCAGTTGCAACATTTTCAGTGATGCACATTTTTTAATCTTGGTCATGTTAAAAGAACAAGCTCATTTCAACAATACAAATACCACTTATATCTGCCAATCATCCTGACTGACAGCTCACACATTCACATTTCAGCCAATCAGATCAGTAGTGTATTAACCAACCATTATCAAATGTACAAACATGTAAGTTTCATATCAGCAAATGGTACTTCCCGACACAAATTGACAGCTGTCAATCAATTTCATACATGCATATCGCCTGTGTCAAAAGCTTCTACCCAAATAACTACAACTAAAATAAATAAATCATTTTGGGCAAAATCACCATTGATGTAGTTAGAAATGGTTGTAAACAACAGCGAATGGTTGAAAAGAAACGTGTGCTCAGCTGATATCAAACTGGGAGGGTTGGCCACCAGTCTCTACACGAGGTGCTGTCATTAGTGAAAGGCTTTGTGTATGTTGTTGTTTTCAGCATAATCTAGTGACAAGGTTCATCGTAATGTCGTTTCTCAAGCCCTGTCTCCATGTAATGGGGCCTCGACATCTCCATGGCAACAACACCACCTCACTTGGGTGATGTCAGCTGAGCAATTGACCCGAGGACTGACTGCATACCGTTCTTGAGAGTGGAGCCAATGTTCTGGAACACAATAACTAAAAGTTAGACCTAGAACCACTGAAGAATAAAAATAAACATGCTTGGATATAAGAACCTTACAATGCAATAGGATTCTGTAATTATTGGATACAAGTACGAATAACAGAGTCTTGACACATACAGGAACCTTGTTAACCTTGACTGCCACAAAATTTGCCAGATGGACAATGTTCTTGGATGTTATTTTCAAAGGAGTGAGTCAGCAAGAAGGTTTCAGTAGTTCTTCGCTACATTTATGTTATATCACAATATGTCGACCCAGTAAGTCCTGACAAAACAACCAGTGTTTGGCTAGGACTGACTGACTGAGTTTGGGTTTACACCGCTTTTAGCAATATTCCAGCAACATCACAGCGGGGGACACCAGAAATGGGCTTCACACATTGTAACCATGTGGGGATTCGAACCCGGGTCTTCGGCGTGACGAGCCAACGCTTTAACCATTAGGCTACCCCACCACCCCTGGCTAGGAGGAAAGATTAAGGCTACAATGATACAAGCTTTTGCATACATATCTCAGTTGTGAAGTTACATCAATGTTCATCATATATATGATAAGATACACCTTATGATACTCAAAACCTTGACATTTGGTATCTTAATACACTTTCAGGATCCACCTGAAGAATTAGCCCATAAAGAATGAGAAAAATAAATCAAGAAGTTGTTATCCATGTGATTTGTCTTGTATTAATACACTTTCATCAGTGTAAATCCAACAAAAACAATTTGAGTACAAACATAATATCAAACCAATGGCTTGAACCCTCTTGTACATACAAGCCCCAAATTGTATTTTACAATTTATGTTCAAACTGTAACATATATGCCTATCATCTTTTTACATACAATGACTCATAGTTACATCCCTGGATTCACATGAGGACCTACTATCAAACTAAATGCTCCTCAGCTTTAGTGACCCTGAAATCCCAACTGGCTCTAAGGACATGTGTTGGGTATGACGATTCCAGTAGAATGAACATAAACAAGGCTCCAATGATATTAATTGCAGATTGAAAGCAATGTTAGATGGATGAAACTATAAGCACTAATGATGAATCTGATATTACTGAAAAGCACTCCATAACAAAATACAAAAACTCATAATTGTCTCAAATAATTATTCAAATTCCACTAATAAATGACTCAAAGACTGAAAATAAAATCCTTACACTTAAAAGCTACAAATACAAGATATTGCATAGTACATAACGATAATCAAATCAGTCTGAATATACATGCTCAAAGAACTTCAAACAATCAGTTTCTTCCCACTGATAGACAACTTTTTCCACAGGATATATATGGGTCTGAAGAGTGAGGTGAGTATAAAGAGGGAGATAACCCTTGTTAAGGGAAGTAACTCTGCAGGCACCCAGCATTCAAGTGATAGAAGCTTACATGGAAGGAAGTTAGCTTCTTTTGCAGCTGGCAGTGAGTGGGTACAACATGGAAACAACACATGCAGACGAAAAGCAGTGAATAGAAGCCAGAAAACAGATTATGCAAACAGTAGAAATACTGAACAGATTTTCTACGGAGGCCAAATCATCAAATTGCAATATATTCACAACAATTAGATATTTGATATGAACAATCTGGAAGTTAAAGATTTGATAAATATTGTGCATTACTTGGCATGATAGTTTCATAAAAAATATTCACAGACCCAAACAACTTAGATACTCATAGTAAAAAAATAATGACAGCTGTTGAACTTATTATATCTACATAAAGATATACAGTTGTCTACATCAGCATATATAATCTGTTCAGCACTTTCTGACTGTTCACATATTACATGTACACGTTGAGTCACACATGAACACAGTTTGTGTCTATGCAAATAGGCTTATAATGGCATGCCCATCAGCAAAAAGCATCTTATTGCCACAACACTTCACAAATATACGTTTCACTCAAAGCCTTCAATGCCCACTGATAGCTGCAAAAGGAAGCCAAAGATCAGACAGTACAGTCTGTTCTTCCGACTGTTACCTAGACAACAACCTCAGCACTGTCCTGCTCTCTTGCTTTTAAGAATTCCGATGACATTTTGAACACTTTGCACACTGGCTTTAACTCCAGCCTTTAAGGTTGCCCCTAGTCCCTGGGAGAACAAAAGAACGTAAAACAACAACCAAATCAAAGAACTCTACTATGGTTCGGGGACTCAGTATATACACTCTGTGCCTGATACCTTGAACATGCCGAAATATAACATCAATTCTCAGAAGATTCTATGCTTTTCACACGGGTCATTAACTCCAGGGTAAAAAATGATCAAAATTAGTTTTAGAGTTAAATTAATTATCAAAATGAAGAGTCCAAAGGAAATCAGTTGTCTGACATGGGGGTAATTTTAAACCCTGAACACTGCAGTATCTGCAGTAAAAGGTATAGGGCACAGAGTGAACATAGACATCATTCAAACAGAGTTCTCGTACAATCATGTTTGAAGTAGTTACCCTTCAACAAGGACAATACTAAATTTATTTCTGTGATAAAGATACAGCTGCGACGAACTACTACTGTGTCAGTGCTCCATGGGAAGACTGCTGTGAGATATCGGTCAACTTGTAGCCAGTATAATGGAACAATAAACAGTAACATCCATTAGACACACACTACAACAGTACCGGTACTGATAATATATCATGACATTGTGAACGGAAAATGTAAAGACATCAGCAAAGGTATATTCATCACGGTTGTCAGTGGAATTTGCCTATTTCCTTTATAACTTAAGGATAAAATCGCAGGTGTTGATGTCTGTCACCATTCTCTTCCCACAGAGGTTACTTGTCATATCTTCCCACGAACCTCTGTTCTAATACGGCCCTTTCATGGTGCGCGTGTTCAGGATTCGTGATTGGTTGCAATCAGATTTAGTTGTGCAATCAGCGACGTTGTTTCAAAAGTGATCATTCGCAAGGCCTCGGTAATTTCCGTATGCTTCGGGAAAACTAGAACCTCTTCACCTGCGCGATGCTCAAACGTTTCTTCTAGACAGAACTCAGTCATGTAATGGCGGATCGATGGCGTCTCCATTTTTTATATTTGTGGCCCCACATTTGCTTGTATTAGTCAGGTTGGAGCTAAGTCGGTGTAACACGTTTTCTGATTGGATAGAAAGAAGGGAGATAAGTCGTGTTGCGATTTTTGGCCGATAGGGGATTTTACGAGAACCGGGAAATATGGCCGTATTAGAACAGAGGTTCGTAGGAAGATATGACAAGTAACCTCTGTGGGAAGAGAATGGTCTGTCACCAGAACACATCAAGTGATGAGGGAATCGTGTGAGGAAACTTTATCATACTTGCAATAGGGTATTTGTTTCAGCATGTTAACAGAAGGAATGTTTACATTCATTGTATCAGAGTTATGTCAATAGTGTAAAACAAGTACATGTATGTTTACATTTTAGAGTATAAGGTATTTCTGTCAATATTCTATTCATACAATTCATGTTTCACATGTCTTTCAGGTAAGATATTTACAAGTTCAATCAGACAATCTTTGTGTGTGTGGCTTATATACCATTATCATGAACAAACTATCTCAATATGCATACACATGTATTTATATTAATATCAATGTATGATACTATTCACATGATGCAGGCCAAGAGAAGATGATGCACACTGAATCCTGGTCACTACCAGGGAGGAGAATATATTTTTAAAAAAGAAGAAGTAACGTAAGTGTTTCGAATAAGATGACATTGGACTTGTTTCAAACTGAAGCTAATGGAATCACTGGGAATGACGACAGTTGAAGAAACATCAAAGAGGAACTGATACCATATGACGTGAAAAATATATGAAACACATATGAAAATAGAATCTTTGAGAAGGACCAACAGACCTATTGTATTCTTCGCACATTTTTATGCTACACACAAATGTATCTAAATAATGTTCCCAATTTTACTTTAAGCCCAATATATTATCTAAACATAAACATGTTTGTGTGATCAGAAGAATGTCATAGAATCAAAACATATAAATGATTAATTAAAATATTTATGATTAATTAAAATATATATGATTAATTAAAGTTGTTACCCACACATCTTTGAAAGTTAACATTCATGTATGTTTTGCAAGAACAGACCTATTTGTATGAATATGTATTTCAGGCAAAATGCAAAAAAGAAACCTTCTTATATTATTGTGTTGGTAATTCCAAACAAATTCTATTATTCAAATAATGAGATTACAGAAACACACAACTATAAATGAACAAATAAATAAATAATTGAACAAAAAGATGAGAAAGAAACCCTGAAACTATGCGGCATGCGTCTATAGCACCAGGAGAGTGAAGTATTTGTTAGCATAGTAGTCCAGGAAATGCCATTGTTTAGAAGGAATATATAATATGTAAGCAACAGGCATGACGTTGGAATGATTCAAGAAGTGTATGGCAACACCCTCATGAGAATGTGAATAAAGCAGTGTTACAGAATGTGTGGCTTGTTTAAATGACCTTATCTAGTCTCTAGTTGCCATATTGAAAATGTTGGTGACAAACGAGAGTTCTCTCCCTTACCTTTCCACCCTGTGATGGTGTCTTTGGTGTCTGGGGATGTGCATCCAGACATTTCTGGTAACGGAGCTGTGAAAAATCAGAAACACATCTTATTCAGCTACACTTGGTAACTCAAAACATCTGGGCGGACTTGCAGGAAGCAATCCCATGTAAGGGAGTTACAAGGGCAAAGACTGCGAAAGTTACCCCAGAAACATTTAGGAGACAATGGCCAGTTCCTAACAGTTCTCACTGAGATTACATCACACTCACATATTTACTACTCAAAATGGTTTTGGTTTGTTGTTTAACACCGCACTCAGCAATATTCCAGCTATATGGCGGCGGTCTGTAAATAATCGAGTCTGGACCAGAAAATCCAGTAATCAACAGCACGTGCATCAAACTATGCAACTGGGATACGATGACATGTGGGAACCAAGTCAGCGAGCCTGACCACCCGATCCTGTTAGTCGTCTCTTACGACAAGCATCGGTTACTGAAGATCAATACTAACCCGGATCTTCAGGACCTACCGATTCTTTTATATAGTCAGTTATAGTTTTAATTCACAATGAAGGACATTCGAGAAGATTGTAATATCCCTAAATCATGTCTCTAGTGATCTTACCTTGCAAGCAGCTTCAATGGTTTTACACAGAGGACCAGCTGAAGGCTCAGTGGAACACATGGGCGTAGAAGTCGTCCTGTGCATTGTGCATTATGAATGCACACAATCTGGTGAAACAAAGCATGTTTCCTTGTAGACGACATTTAATAAAGAACCGTTATCAAGGACAATTGTTTTTCTATACATCTTAATGGTATAGATCACTGATTCTGTATATATTTGACTAGTGAGTTTGGTTTGAGTTTTGACCAGTATTTCAGTCATGTGATGGTGTGTCGGTTTGATGTAGGAGGACAGTCTGTAGCGATGTCTTGGAGGTTTTCCACTTAGGTAAAACCCACCAAGTTATTGCACTGACAAACCTAGCAATGTTCGTATCTGGGATTCAAAGCCAAGATCATAGATTTCAATGACATTCTTTAGAGACGCACGCCTCCATCAACAATAAACTAAGCAGCACATGTTCCAATCCTCGGCCACATCCCCAATATGACATGTGTACAATGACTGTTGTTAGTGTATGATCAGTTTAACAGATGAGATCACTTTGTTGATTTGAGTGCATCAGGATTTCAGCAATATTCCAGCAACAGCTTGGTAGTTTCTGGTAGACACCAGAAATGGGCTTCAGACTCAGTAATTGTGTGGGGATCTGAAACTGGGTCTTTGGCATGACATGTGAATGCTTAAAAACTACTGCAATGCACCATGTCAATTTGAAACCTTGATGCTAAATAGCTAGTATCAGACACTGTTCTTCAAATGTTTTGTGAACAATCTGAAAGAAGCATAATCCACAGCTCTGTCCATTAAATGTGGCAGGAGTGAAACAGTCAATGAATATAGAATGTGTCAGAATATTGACACGAGTCTCTGTCACTCACTTGACGTTGTTCATAGCAATACCCATGAAGGATAAGAAGCGGACTCGACATTCATCAATCTTATTCTCGGGTCTCTGTAAAAAGAAAAAAATCTCTTGTGAACATAAAATGGATGGTTGAATTATCACTGACAAGTGTCATCATGTAAAAAGGTCTTACATAACTACAGGGGCCCAATAATTCATTTTAATAATTAATTTCAAAGATGCTTATCGGAAATATGAGGCTTGTAAATTACAGTGCACTCAATATATTTTCTTCCACTTTTCTAAACTGTATATCCAAGAAATGATTAAAGAGTAAATGCTTCCACTTTTCTAAATATTCTAAACTGTATATCCAAGAAATGACCGAAGAGTAAATGCTTGCACTTTTCTAAATACTGTAAACCGTATATTCAAGAAATAACCGAAGAGTAAATGCTTGCACTTTTCTAAATACTGTAAACCGTATATTCAAGAGATAAATTCTTTTCTTTCTGGAATATAGATGTCAAGAATGCAGCAGTCTTGTGTACATACCCCATGTTCAGAGATGGTGAGTGTTGAGGGTGCTATAGCAACATTGACAAAAAGCCATCTCTCAGGGGGCACCTTGCGATATGCTCGCTCTATCGCTTCATTCAATGTGTCCATACCTGAAAAATTAGGAGCAGTTATACAGTTTCCCCTATTACACAAACATACAGACATCAATTAATACAGTAAAGATATGGTAAAGATACAGTAAACTTTCAGTCAGTAACAATGTTACTGTATTTCCAATGTTTTGCAGGTTAAGATGATTATGTAGAAAGTGACAAATCATGAAGATGTATTTGTCTATCTCTGGTTTAATTATATGATGTATATAGCCAGCATCTTATTGAAATGTGAATCATAAGACCTGGCCTTCATCTGAAACACGATTGTCAGAATATAAATGTTTTGTATTTTGTTTCACGCCTCTCAGTAATATTCCACCATATGTATACAACCTAATCCAGATTTAACATGGCTAGTTATTGATATATTAAGCCATGTTCATGTTGTCAGGGTATAAAAACATGAACATAACCAGTTCACCAAGCATAACCACCCAGTCCTTTCAGTTCCTTTGTATTACACAAAGAGATTTGTTTGTGGTTTAATGCCATGTTCAGCAATAATCCAGCTATACGATGGCAGCCTGTAAATCAAATCTGGACTAGGCAATCCTGTGATTGACATCATGAGCATCAATCTATTCCCTCTGTGATACAATGAAATACATCAACCAGGTCACAGATGCCTACCACACGTTCGCGTTAGTTGCCTCTAACGACAAGGATGGGTGTGCTGAAGATCATGTCTAACTCGCATTTTCACAGGTAACAATCACAGGTAACATGAACAATCACAGGTAGCTGGGAACCTAACCAAACTGAGAAACTCTACCAGGGATTTACAAAGCTTCAACTTTAGAATAATGGCTTTACAAAACCTATTCCCTATAAAAGGTCAGACAGAAATTGCCATGAACCATGAACAGTGCTGTTGATATATATATATATGTGAAGATTACCCTTTATTTGCCTCCTTCCTTCACAGACGTCTACAAAGGCAGCAGATTGAAATTTAAAGCAGAATATATTGAGCATAACTGTAAACATCCATGCAAAATTTCCGTCTCACTGAGTCAGTGGTTAATAAAAAAAATCTGAACCGTTGAAGGTCAGGATTGACTATGGACTGAAGAGAGCATATACCCTACGCTCATCAATGACCTTACAACCACAATAATGAAATATTTTATAAAATGGTAGCCTTCTATGAAACTGATGTCTTGTAGAATGGTACCTGTGGCTCTGTCGACTTCCATCTGGCCCAAGTAGTGGCACCGGATGTTCTTTTTGGGTTCCTCCATTGGAGTCGGGAACGATGCATCTGCAACAATGGACGGTCAAACTGTCACAAAAAGATCCACAACTATTTCTGATAATACGATTTCAAACCCTTACACCCAATTTGTTTTTATCTATGACAGAAACCACAACTGTTGGCTAACAAAATTTGAATAGAAAGTGCTTAAAAATAAAGACATGGTTTCTGATGGAACAGAAGAATGTTCAATCCAAATTTATGAGCATTTAGAAACTGGCCTATAGCAATTTGTTTTAGAGCAAGTTATTGAATAAATACCATTTCACAAATATTTCTTCCAAAAAGATTTTTTCCCAAAATATGTAATAAAAAAGAATGTTTTCTCAAGGTTAATAAATTTAGCACCATTTACATTCCTACTCTCAGTGCTCATTATCCCTAAACTGAAAAACATTTGTTACTAATGCCCAAACACAAGATTCTGGACAAGCCCCTACTGGAATAGAGACTCTGGAAGGAAAGCTTCTGTCCATTTGGCTGGTTGGTTTTCTCCAAATTAGGCAGGTCCGTAGGTCGGCTGAGTCTCTGCATAGCTGTCCTCTCCACCATGATCTTCTTGCAGATGTCCCTCAGCGTGTTGGCGATCTGCCTTGCTGGGGTGTCGCAGCGGAACACGTGACACATGTGGCGGCGGCTCATCTTATCCCGCGCAACATACGCAAAATCTCTACAATTCCAAAACAGTGGAACATTAACACTGAAAGAAGGTTGCTGAATAAGAACAGGTACAGTTTTATTTAACCTGTTTCTGATTTGCATTTATTACAATAAAATCAAGAATCAGAAAAGTCTTTCAGGGGAATGGAATAAAAAGGTATGATAACTGATAATAGTCACTATCTCACACATATTTGATCCGTCAGGTTATAAATATCGTCAACAAGTCTTCCTTGGGGGTTAGAGTCCAACTGGTCGGGAGACTGAACACTGATTCACATATAGCAGAAGAATGGTAACATTGTCTCCAAGGTCATGTCCCGAACTACACCTTTTCTGAAGGTCATCTAGTAATCCTCAATGCAAATTCAGCAGCAAGGTGTTGAATTATCTGGCTGTGACCAGGTCAGTTACAATGACATACCCGATCAGTCAGGTCACAGCTGGGAGATAGCATACCCTGCCCTGTTGCTCAGTAGCCATCGAGTCCATAGACTGATCATCAATCTACACAACTGGACATGATATACCCAATCAGTCATAGCTTGGAGATGGTATGCTCTGCCCTGGAACTCTGCAGCTATAGCGTCTGAGTATCAATTCAAATATCTTAAGTCTGAGACTAGTGAAAATCAGCTAATTGTTTTCGCTCAAAATCTTGTCAAGTTACATGACCACTCGCCCAAAGTAGGCTCTAGATGAACCTGACACGATAATGGATCCAAAATAACAAACAAAAGCACATCCCTGAGCTGCACATGAAGTGAGAAGGCACCAAAGCAGATGTTTGTGGGTGATAGATGATTGCATGAATGTAAGTACTCAAACTGAAGGCAAAGAAAACACTCAACAAACAGGCACAAAATGTTCACCTTCCAAATCATAGTTTTCACCTTGACACCAAATACTATGAATTAAATGACAATATACCAAGATTGTAACATATAAGTCAATAGGTCAAATTCTGTTCTTTAAGACTTTTCATTAAAATTGACTTTCATTATAATCACAAATGTTGTTTCCCAATGAATGTCTTTACTAACTTGTGATTTCTTAAAACAAGTTTGATCACACTCATTCAGATGAACAGACCAAACTAAATACATGTAGATTTTTATAAATTTTTTCTTTTCTCTAAGATACAGCAAGAATAATACAAATGAATGAATAAACATATTTCATCAGAAAATAAATGAACGCAGACAGAAAGACTGACAGTCCAGACTGAAGAGCTACGCAAACATGGAGTACATCAAGAGTTACCTTTCCCTGACAGATGAGGGAGAAAGGAGACAAAAGAGATGTTAGAGACCCAAGAAAAACAAAATCCATAATCTATCAAATTTATCATCAATTAAAAGAGTTATAATCTACATACGAAATGAGTGATAGATTAATACAAATTAATTTCACATTCCAAATTAATTCATAAGTAAATAAACACTGAAACATAATTTCAAGTTGCAATGCATTGATGCTGACTGATTAAACAAAGTCTGCAGATTTTGGGACCTGTAAGAGGAGATATACTGTTTACTGGAAGACTAATGATTAGATGGAGAGAGCGATGATAACAGAGGCTTTACTGAAGTTGACTCACATTCTGGTACCAGAGATCTGGCAAACATTCCAGAACTACCCATAAATTTAGATCCTGTTTCAGGAACATGGGATGTAACAATATAGTGAGGTGCTTAAGATTTTGATAAACCAAAATTATACATGCCACTCAAGAAGTCGAAAAACACCAGATTTGCTTCATACGACAAAAGTTAATATCATAATTCAAAGAAGTCGTGGCTGAACTTCTTTTGAGACGTATATTTCATTTTAGAGTGATGCTTTGTTTCTTAATAACCTGAAACTATTAGAATCAATGGCTATTACAAATGATAGAAATGATTAACATGATTTTGCTGAATTTTCCAGTGAACTGTGATTGTAACAGGCCTGGTTTCAAGAACAGAAGTACAATATCAATTTGCCTCCAAGCAATGACATTAACATCAGGAGCAAATGGTGGGTTTTTTTAGAAAATGATTTTTTTTTTACATAATTAACTTCATGGAATCATGGACCCTGACTGACCCAGAAAATGGCCATTGACCTCCTTGTCAAAACAACAGTGTAACACACTGCCCTATTTAATAGGCCATTAAGAAATAATTATGACCAATAACAATAACCAAAAATGATGCCAACATAAAGGGTGAGCCACTGATCTCTTATACTGCCCCAGATGGACACTAATTGAATTGCTCAGATGGAGGTAATGTCAAAATAATATCAAATTCGTGTAGCTTCTTGGCAAATTGACCATGTAAAATGTTCAAATAATCTCTTCTGTGGTTTGAAAATCAATACGCTTTATCAACAACTCCATATCCCTATACATCCATGTTATATTGCTATAACACATGCATAGAGAAAGCGTCTATGTTGTTACATCCCTATAAGGAACAGGTGCTTGTTGTGATGTTGGTGGGAGACAGTTCCCCAGGCTTACCTCCCATTGTCCCGCCCAACTCCCCACACTCGGATGGAGTGGATTGGCTGGCAGTTGAGGAGGCTGCAGTCCTGGGTGTCCATGAGGCGTAGACTGGTGCTGTCCAGGTCCATGAACAGGTCTTTGCCCTGAAACATTCATCATATGCCCTGAAATTTCTAGTTCAGCCCGTAGATATTCACCATAAGTTTTTTAAATACTGTTTGCAAGTCCTGAATACATATCAACGATTCTGACACATCAAGAGCCCTTGAATACATAATAAATATTTTAATGTAATAACATATTTTCTGTAATGTTCAAAGTCTAGTATTTTGGGGGGTTGAGTCCCATGAAGAATACAAACACACACTCGCAGATTGAGAGACTTGCAAAGCCTTGTTTGGTCCATTAACATATACTGGCCTAAATAAACATTAAACTTCACTATAATGATGCTGAGTGTCAAGTTCGGGTTACTAGCCTGAAAAGGTGTTGGGCTAACCGCCCGGTGAGAACTTTATTATATTCAGAGTCAGTGTTATGTTCAGAATTAGACATGGAAAATCAGAAAATCTGCTATAGATCTAAATCCTACAACAATCTGAAAATCTACTATAAATGTAAATCCTGTTACAGAACTGAGAATCTGCTATAGAGCTGAATACTGCAACGGATCTAAAAAAATATCTAAGCTAAAAAGAATACTGGGTATTCTCAATTACAAATTTGAAACAAAATAACAAGTAATAAATTTGTGCAGACTTCAAAGAAACAAATTATTTTGTTGTAAACTGTGGGACATGATTAGATTACGATTGTCAGAGCTGGAAGGTCGGATTAAAGTTGTCAAGTATAAAATCTTGGAACTGTGAAAATTTGTAAATTTGTCAAAATGGTTTGAAATCTGAGAGTCTTGTCAAAGCATTTAAATCTTTGGCTGTCATGCCACGTCATTATAACTTCCATTTTATCAATAATGTCTTTAAAATGAACACACAAAAAACGTTTTGATTCTAAAACTCTTTGAGCATTGGAAATATCAAAAGTTATCTGCACACATCATAAAAGTACATCATAATTACTGAAAACATAAATAATCCACTGAGCAGAGCGAAATCGATGCTATGATGTTTAAATGTCATTCTGCGTTTTAAGACTATAATAAAGCAATGGAATGATAAGGGATTGTTCTACAGCAAAGATCAAAACACTCCCAGTGATGATCAATAGTGTTGTTAAACTATCAAAATCACATTATTTCATCAAATTTACAACGTGATAATTTATTCCTCACAATTTTCCAATAATAAATAGTGCCATGTTAGTGTGGGTGTCCGACCACAAATACAACCACCGCAATAGATCAACATGTATGAAAAAAACAACTGATTTTTTTCTTTTCTGTTTATGTATTTTCAGTTATGAAAGTGTTACGTTAAGCATAAGGTCACCAGGCCTCACAGTCATAGAACATGGGGTGAAACTGACCCAGACGGCAGACGGCAGACAGCAGACGGCAGACGGTAGACATCTGCTATTATATATATGAAGTTTGTTTGTTGTTTAATGCTGCACTCAGCAATATTCCAGCAATATCACAGCGGGGGACACCAGAAACAAGCTTCACACATTGTAACCATGTGGGGAATCAAACCTGGGCCTTCGGTGTGACGAGTGAACGCTTTAACCACTAGGCTATCCCATCGCCCCTCCCACTTAGTAAAACTGAATATGCTATTTTGTGCTATGTTACCCATCAGCGCCTGAGTATAACATGCATATACACAGCTTGAAGTTCACATATCAATAGGGATGCAACTTCACAGTCATTTCTTTCTTGCCTGAAGAGTGACGAACATAAAGTTTCCATAAGTTGCTTGAAATGATACTAGCCTTTGAATATTTTGAACATCAGATAAACTGAGTCAACTGGCACCCTTCATAAATGGTATGGATTCTAAAATGTTCCAAGCATGTTAGTTCAGTCTCCTCAAAACGTAATTGGCCTCTTGGATGACAATAATTTCTGGCATACATACATTTTTAGTTATGGAGTCCTGAATGTGTGACTACAATCGCTTTATATTTTCAATTTATAGTTGTGAAAAACGATTTAAATATTCATATTTCCACCAAATAAAAATGCTGAATCCAGTAAACGTTTTTGGCAACTCTCCTGAATGGCTTCGAAGCGTTCTCTTTATTCCTAATACTGAAACGTTTATCAAAATGAACTTTCTGAATTTGGTTTCTAACAATTACACTAGAATATAGAAGAACCCTCTCCACATATATTTAGGCAATAGAATGCTTGAACACTGGGCATGATGGAGCCAGTCCTATGGCACAACACTATCAATCCCTCCGACATAAAAAAGATATTTATTCTTTCCGTATGATTCATAACCAAACTGTTGTATCAGTTTCAAGTTCGATAAGTTTATAATGGATGAATCTTAATCACATTTGTCACTTCGGGGTTGGCAAAAAACGTAAATGTTGTGCTCTGGGAATCAGCAAAATATTTCATTCTTGGTGTCAGGTTTCAAAATTACACTCACATCTCCCCATCTTCCAACAACGTCGTTAATATCGTTCCTCCCCAGGGAGAGATCAACAATACATTTGTTGACAGCCTTGCTGCTTCTTTCGGGCGTCAGGTCTTCTTCTGCTATTCCCACCCAGCCTAATGACCTCACCGCAAATCGGATCGGTTTCTCTGTGAGTTCATCAGGCAGACTTTCTTTTCTCTCCAGAGGGGAGCACCTGTCAAAACATTAATCAATATCCTAATTGACACGACCAGACACGGTAATTAGAAATGAACCGGAGATCTCCCCGACCCAACTCATTTGCATACTCGCATTTGGTGTTGGAGTCAACTCTCTAACATGAGAGGTAAAATAAAAATCAGATTTCATTTATAAAGTATTGAGCATTGACCATTCTGAGATCTGTCATGGACTGCAAATGCTCCTTGAAGGAAATGAAAGATCCTTATCAAATTAAGATGTCGCTTTTTTCCCTGCGACTTAAAAAACAGATTCCTGAAAGGCATTCTGATAAGGGCACAGTTGGTCGTTTCATTGGGATCTTCGACCAAGGGAGCCAAAACCTTCAAGTCTTGTATTCCTGTCAGTCATGGCCTTGCCTCCATTGAGACTTCTCATTGCCAACAATTTGAACCTGTCCAAAATACTTTATTTTTTTTCTGAATTGAGTGTGAAAAAACTCTAAGTCTGGATTAGGCTTTCAAATTTGGGATTTTGAAAACAAATCCCTTAGGAAGACATGTAGAGAACATATTCTTCATTCTTTACTGCAGTTTGATCGACAAAGGTCTCTGTTCGTGCACAATGACAGGAAACATATTTGTGGTTTCAGAGTGGAATATATGATAGTGGAGTCATAAATATAGGAGATAAACTTATTATTTATTTTGAATTTACATGAGAGGTATGCTGAACATACTGCATCTGATACTGTCAGTTTTAATGTTACTTGACAACACCTCTGACAACTACACTATCTGTTTGAAGAACACTGGTAACAAGGGCTGAGAAATATTTGTTAACGGGCAGAGTTAGGACTTTGTGACACACACATATCTTTATAACATTTCATTGTTATTTTTGCTATGAACTTAGAAGTCACTTAACCATGAGATAGCATTTGAATGTAAATGGCTGTCTTTATGGCCTCACTGTGACTGCAATGTATAATTTTGACATGGGTCATAGAGATTAGGCAACAACAAAAAGAAAATGTCCGTTTCCGGTAACCTGACCGACCCTATCCTAACCCACCCAACCCTAAATCTTTTTTTAACCAAGTCAAAATCATGACTGGAGTGCATTTCAACTCATCATTTTCATCCAAATCGAGTATGATATTTTCATGTTTTTCAGTGTACATAAGGCTAAAATGGATTGCATTGAAATGGCATAAAGGGCTCTCACTGACAAAACCTGCAAATAAATAACATGAATAATGATTTGATATAGAAATCCATCAATGTTTCATCACAAGACATTGTCACAACATGATATGGTATGCTTGAAGACATTCTCAGGTGCCCACCTGGTGCTACTAAAAAAAGAAAGAAAAAAAAGTAAAACCAAAAAGATAAAACTGACCCACCTACCCTATTATTAAAAAGCATGTAATAGGAAACGGACATATATTTGTTTTTTCCCTTAAGAGCCGAATGCTATGAGTGTTCACCCATGCATCCATGGGTATGATGCTACACCAAGACAGCCAGAGGCAGCAGTACATGACCATTACCTGTCCATTAAGAATACTTGCTGAATCTTCAGAAACATGACTACAAATAGTTTCCTCTTTCGGACAGAAAGAGATATTTGGACCAGTTTTATTCCTCACCATGCGAGGTTCATGTTAGGGGTATATATGAAGCAAGATGGTTGTACTCACAAAGACTGGAGTGACTTGGCAGCGTACTGCAGGGCGTGGCCCTCAAACTCCTGCAGGTGTTCCTCAGTGTTGGAGGTGATGCTGGTCGGGGAGGAGGGGATGGAGCTGCTGGTCCCCAGAGTGCTCTGAAACGGAACAACAGAGTTTGTGTGGAGTGTTTGAGAGTATGTGAAGCTGAGAGACCAAATGTGAGAACTGGTTAGTGTTTGTGCGTTTGTAAGGGTGATGGAACTGGCAGTACCCAGAGTGCTCTGAAACAGAACAACAGGGTTTGGGCGGAGTTTTTGAGACATGTGAATACTTGATAGTGTACATGTGAGTTCGTAAGGGTGATGGAGTGCAGTGAAACAGAATGACCATGTCCATCTGGAGTGAATGTCACTCGATCTAAGTGCATATGACAACCCAGATAGCATTCAGACGTTGGCCCAACGTTGGCAATGGTTTTGCCAACATTGCCAACATTGGGCCAACGTCCGAATGCTATCTGGGAATATGCCTTGGTTTGACTACAGTTGACTATGTGACAGGATGTGTGTGCTTCGAGTTATGTGAGAGTACATGTGAGCGTGGGTTTAAGTGACTAAGTGAGAGTGTCAGTGCATGTAAGTGCTTGTGAGTGTATGTGAGTATGCCCTGAAACAGAACTTCTGTGATAATCTGGGGTGTTTTGACACAATGTGAGTGTATGTGACTCTGCAGGAATGCATTTGATTGGAAATTGGTTTGGTTAGATATCAAACTGAGAATGTTACATGATTGAGGTGATGGAAGAATGGAGTTGGTGGTTCCATGAGTGCTCTCAAACAGAATATATGGGTTAATGCTTTGGACTTATTGTGAGTTTAAGACTCACTAGTTGAGACTACGAGTGTGCATGTGGCAGAGTTTATGTGACTCGGCAAGAGTGCATGTGAATTTGAGTTTATATGACTCTGTGAGTGTGAATGTGAGAGTATGTGAGCTCATGTGACACCATGTTAGTGTATGTGAATTTGAGTTTATATGACTCTGTGAGTGTGAATGTGAGAGTATGTGAGCTCATGTGACACCATGTTAGTGTATGTGATTCCGTGAGAGTGAATATAAGTGTATGTCACTCTTTGAGAGTGCATGAAAGTGTATGTGATTCTGTGACAGTGCATGTGAGAGTATGCCAGTCCATGAGAATATATGTGAGTATATGTGAGTTTATGTGACTCCATGAGACGTATAGACTGGGAAGCCAGAAGTCAAAGTGAGAGCGGTAAGGTTAACTGTAAAAAAGCATCAACATTTAAATTATCCTGGAAGACTCTGTCTCTGACCTCAGTACTATGCATTAATAATAACATCTTCACCATGAAGGGTTCCCTGTTCAAACAATTCAGTAACATTGGTTGAATTCCTATTCAGAAACTGAAACCACTTTCTCCTCAAAATTAAGTTTTTTATGATCATAAATAGACATTGTTCCATGATCTGAAATAAGATAATAACATGCAAAATATAACCGATTTTAAGCAATTTAATCATTATTGCTACAGTTTTCAATTATTTGATGAATATTTATGATGATCCTCTTGAGGAAATTTCCTTTGTTGAAACAACTCATGAAGATAATTCCTGTATGACTTTGAAGTTGATCTTCTAAAAACTGACAATATCGGTCGTGATTCCATCCTGGATGAAGAGTATGAGTGTTATAGATTCATCAGTTTCAAACTGTAAACTAGACTGAAAGTGCTTCAGACAACAAACTGCATCCTGTAAATATTTCCCTAACAATGATTTATAAACCTAGTGGACAAAATATGTCAGCAGAAAATATGGGATACAACTACCTCTGGTGCCAAAGTGTCTGAGAAAAGGCTGCTTTGGCAAGAAGAATCTATTTGAGACTATTTCAGGTGCAACTTTAACACGGCCATTTCAATAATCTGACAGACTTCAATAAAAAACTCTTTTGTTCTGGACAGCACGGAAAAGGAAATGTTTCAAATTCAGAAAAATATGGCCTTTTTCCCCCATTGAGAACAAACATTCAATTATTCCCTGCATCTGCATACACACCGACAGGCTTAGCTGTTAATCTTCTATGTCTATGCACCATCATTTCCTCATTTGCCGTATGTCAACTCTGGCAATAGATCCTTTAAATTTTGATTTTGCTCGGACAAATTGCGGCAATATTCCGGTTTGGTAGGAGTCAGTGTGTCAGATGCTAGTTATAACGGAGGGTGATTATGAGAGAAGGTTGGACGCGTTGAGTGATTAGCCTGGCACTGAAAGGGTGCAGGCATTGATGTTTGAGCTTCATGGTTAGAATACAGGCTATGAGATTACGAGGGGAGAATTGATTCTGCTCTACAGCTTTTTATCCTGGCCGACATCACCTTGTCTGGTGATAGGCCAGTTTTCAGGCTGGTCAGTGCTGAAAGGACTGTGTTGGGATTGTGGAGGTTGTGTGCATGTAGGGAGAGGACTACAGCCACTGCTCAAGATGTCAACACAACAAAGCCTTCGGGATACTGTTACACAGAACATGTGCTTAACAGCCATGGTGTTGATGTCAGTGTGTGGAGTAGGAGGCATGGGGAAAAGAGAGAGGGCGGGATAGATGAAGGGGAAAGAAAATAGGTAGAGAGAGGTGAGTGAGTGAGTGAGTGAGTGAGGGAGGGAGGGAGGGAGGGACTGACTGACTGACTGAGTTTGGTTTGGTTTTTACGCCGCTTTTAGCAATATTCCAGCAACATCACGGCGGGGGACACCAGAAATGGGCTTCACACATTGTGCCCATGTGGGGATTCGAACCCGGGTATTCGGCGTGACGAGCCAACGCTTTAACCATTAGGCTACCCCACCGCCCCTGAGGGAGGGAGGGAGAGAGATTGAGAGCGAGTATGGTTTTACGTAATTTTTAGCAATATTTCAGCAGGAAAACAACAGAAATCGGCTTCCCATATCGCACCCTATTGTGGTGAATTGAACCCAAGACTTCAGCATGTTGGGAGAGAGAAAGGAGAGAGAAAGAGAGGATGGAGGAGGTGAATGGATGAGCAGAAGATGGGAAGAGAGAGAAAAGGCCACATAGAGGAGAGTGAGCGAGTGAGTGAATTCGGTTTTACGCTGCTTTCAGCAATATTCCAGCAATATCACGTCAGGGGACACCAGAAATGGGCCTCACAAAGTGTGCTCATGTGGGGAATCGAACCCAGGTCTTCGTTGTGACAAGTGAATGCTTTAATCACTAGGTTACCCCACTGCCCCCTTAGAGAAAGAGTGTAGGGAAATTAGAGTTGGTATGACAGATGATGAGAAAGATTTGAGTGGAAAATAGAATGAGGGTGAGTGAGTGAATGAGTTTAGTTTTACGCCACTCTCAGCAATAATTCAGCTATATGGCGGAGGTCTGTAAATAATCGAGTCTGGACCAGACAATCCAGTGATCAACAGCATGAGCATTGATCTGTGCAATTGGGAACCGATGCCATGTGTCAACCAAGTCAGCGAGCCTGACCACCCGATCCCGTTAGTCGCCTCTTACGACAAGCATAGTCGCCTTTAGTGGCAAACATGGGTTGCTGAAGACCTATTCTACCCCGAATCTTCACGGGTCTAGAATGAGGGTGTGGGAAATGAGTGAAAGTAGTGGGGAAAAGAGAGAGAATCTGAAAAATGAAATATACAACTTTATGGATGACAACTTCTTATTTATTGCATAAAGCGACGTTTCGATGTAGATTCTTCATTATCAAGCTTGATAACAATGTAAGAATCTACATCGAAACGTCGCTTTATGCAATAAATAAGAAGTTGTCATCCATAAAGTTGTATATTTCATTTTTGAGTCACCAACTTCTAGAATGCCCATTAACATCAAACAATTGGAGAGGATGTGGATTATACATTTAGGAGTGGGAAAATAGACAGAAAGATAGAGATAGTGGAGACAGTAATGCATCAGATAAGAGAGGGTGATTTAGAGTGGAATCAAGGTGAGGCTGGTTGAGTGTAAATGTCGGTGAGGAAGTGAAAGTAACTATGGATATATTGTACCCTGAACAGAATTCAGTGAAACACAAGAACTTATTCATCACTCTTTGGAATATACATTTTGAAAGGGAACGAAAAGGAAAAAAAAAATTTGGAATCAATCTTTTATTAATAACTTTATCAAGCAACACACAAGGGTTAACCATCTCTTTAACAATGTTCACTCCAGAAAGATGCCAGCAGAGCTAAAGGGTATTCTTCTACAACATTTCCAATTTAAAATCACTGACATGCATACCGACAGAGATCAGATAAAAAACCCAACCTTGATAACAAAAGAAAGAACAAAATCAAGATTGAAACCTAAAAACAAATATGGTATCAGAAATCAAATTTCCAGATTTATTTATTTTTTATTCTGACAACACAGTAGCCTCGGGCATCGAGCGACTGTGGCTTAAACTAGCACTATGGAAGCTTAATTACAAACTTGTTGCCAACAATTCTGTTGAAGAAGCCAACAATTGTTCGCAGCATTTCCACGAATATTCCTGTCGACCAAGAGCCTGCAAGCAAGTGATTCCTTCAAACGAACAATTATCACAAATAAAACTGGCTTTAGTCAAAAGTGGTAATGACAAACTAAATGATGGTTTCAGCATGATGAATTGATATCTGAAGCTAAGAACAAACTTTAAAATTTGGCAATTAAAACAGCAATGTTTGTATTCAAAACAAAAGATTGAAAAAACATTTCACATCTCAGAAAGAATCTTGAAAATGCTTTGGAAAAAAAACAACTTTAATGACAGACATTGAGCCTCATTACAAGGCAAAAGGGTGAAAAAATTCACTGCATCAACTACAAAATCAATCTGTTATTACACCCCAAGCTTGAAAATGGTGACGATAAATTGCCGTTCTGAGCTACAGTCCTAATTTTACCCATGTCGGGCTGCAGCTATTACCAACAAAATACTGTTCCATAAACATCTCCGCAATGGCCATTACCCCATCGGCCGTGAGAAAAACCTTTTATCTGACAAATATTTCAAACAAGGTGCTGCAGTTAAACCCAAACAGCACTGTTCCGAGACAGCATTGTGTAATTCAGCAGGGTAGGTTATTTTCAGCTAGAGCAGACCCTCACGACGAGTTGCATTTTATCTCAAAATCCTTCTGTGTTTGGATTTGTCTTGTCCACAGAAGCTAAGAAGGAATCTTTTTTCCCCCATTATTCAAAGTGAGAGTGATACTTAAAATTATCAGTTTCAGACACTGTATTTCATGTCATCTGTTTTGTACTTACGTTCCCCAACCATGAAGACAATTTGCCAAAGACATTCCTAACACAGGTCATGTGATGAAGGGTTTTACTGGATCCGCTAACTACCAACATAGGCTGTTGTTGACCAAATTCTTACACTGTGAAAATCAAACTTGCTGAGGCTGATATTTGCCAGAAGTCTATATTTTTCGTACCTGTGGCCGTTGTCAAATTCCAGGGCAACATAGAAACTAGGGGTGGGCGATTCGAACTTCACAATATATATTGTGGTACACTTTTCGTGAACCGGTTCACCTGATACAATCGGTCGGCAATTTCCGTGACCATGATCGGTAATTTTTCGTGATGTAGTCAAAATACTAATATCATTATTATACATTAATATATCTAAGAAAGTTTATTGGTCATATAATTGCATTTGCATGACTTTCAAACCATATAAATGAAAAAATAGATTGGTACCGGCACTCGTATTGATAAACAAACCAAAATGGCGGATGCCGCTGCAGACGCTTTTCTTCAAGTTCCAAACTTTGGAGCGAAGTCTTCAATTTGAAAACTTTTTCAATTGATCTCTTGTGTAATCAAATCTGAGTCCTGACAGTGACCAGTGGCATTGTTTCAAAGAAAGGAAACAATAATTTCATTACCTTAACCCATGTGTTACACTTTCACAATATATTGCAAAACATATTGCAATATGTCAACACATATCACAATATATCGCAATATGAAAATTTCGGCAATACCCAACCCTAATAGAAACTGTTTGTGTATCATTGAAAGATAAAAACATCCCTATCAAAAGTTTATTAAGTATTTGTCACTCAACATTAGCTGAACAGTGAGATGCCAGGAGGATCTGTGGATGACAAATCATCTTCCATCGCTTGTGTGTTGGATGATGCACAGAATTTGAATGATTTCAAACTTTACTGAGCAACTGCAGACTAACTTAACCATTCAAAATTCAATGAGTTTTTAAATCTTTTCAGTGGCCTCTTAGACATTTAAATAGCATTATCAACAGAAGTCATTTACATGGCAAAAGCAAAACCCTGTCGCTCCAAAAGAGATTGAAGGTCATAATCAGATGGTTTTGTGCATCATAAGATACTAACATTCGCTGCATCAATCCTTTCACTCATGGATTATAGAAACATAATAAGGGATGTTAGTCCCAACTTACCGATTCGCTTGCAATGGAGATGGATCTCAGTGTTGTTTGCTCAGGGGTCAAAGGTGAAGGTGGGTCCCGCTGAATGGTCCCGCTCTTGATATGCCAGTAGTAAGCGCCATCGTCATCTAGGAACACACATTTCACACAGTAAAACCATGCACTGTTCTCACTGAAATTGTCTGCATTAACACACTTCCTGTGGGTTTGGAGCAATGTGCAGTATGCGAAATTAACACGGGTCCTATGGTCCCTGGCTAGTAAAAATTCATCAGGACCACTAAATGATAAGTTTGCAGTGGTGCTGTCGGAATGTGAATTTTGTATTGATAGTTAAAATCTACGAATGTTATTTTGGAGCTGTTAAGTACAGACAGGACCACTAGTTATTGTCCACTCACTTGTCCTGTGGTCTAGTGGGAAATTTTGAAAGGTTCCTTTCCTTAAATGTCCCTTGCATTTATACTACCTACATCAAGTTAAAGAACACCAACAACTGGAAGGATGTGTCAGATACTTGATGGGCATTTAGAAGCTGGAAGGTAACATAACAACGTATGGTATTGGAATAACCACCAGCCATGACATATTGTCATATGAATCAATAAAGTCTTCTGTAACTCCTTTTGGGTAGGAAAACCAAGTTCTATGGATAGTCAACTTCTTTATTGCAATGAGTGCGACGTTTTGGTGTATGTACTAACACTGCTATCAAGCAAGTCACTTGCTTGATAACGGTGTTAGTACCTATGCCGAATTGTCACTTGCTTGATAACAGTGTAAGTACCTACACCGAAACATCACTCGCTTGATAACGGTGTTAGTACCTATACTGAAACGTCACTTGCTTGATAACGGTGTTAGTACCTATACTGAAACGTCACTTGCTTGATAACGGTGTTAGTACCTATGCTGAAACGTCACTTGCTTGATAACGGTGTAAGTACCTACACTGAAACGTCACTTGCTTGATAACGGTGTTAGTACCTACACCGAAACGTCACTTGCTTGATAACGGTGTTAGTAGCTTCGCTGAAATGTCACTTGCTTGATAATGGTGTTCGTACCTATACTGAATGTCACTTGCTTGATAACGGTGTTAGTACCTACACCGAAACGTCACTTGCTTGATAACGATGTTAGTACCAATGCCGAAACGTCACTTGCTTGATAATGGTGTTCGTACCTATGCCGAAACGTCACTTGCTTGATAACGGTGTTAGTACCTACGCCGAAACTGTATTCATTGCAATAAAGAAGTTGACTATCCATAGAACTTGGTTTTCCTTCATCTTTACAATTTCTAAAATGCCTCTCAAAGACGTTCTTTTGGGTAGTGTATGTTGTAACACAACAGTGACTGAGGGGTTTACGGGGCTAAATGGCTCAGGACTAATAGTCTTCACATTTTTCACAGAAGCAAACTAGTTCTATAAAATACTCATTCATCAAAGAATCTGTAAGACCAGTAGAATAGCAAAGGTTGAAGATTTTCTGATACACATCATCATAAAGACGTGACGTTTATTATTTCTACTTGTGTTTCTGCAACTCAGGTCAGGAAAGGGAAAACATTAATTTTCTCTACGAACATCTGAATTCTAACAAATACTCAGTACTGGCAAACAGTATAAAAATTATTAGTTTTTATTTGTCCAAATTTATCAAACTTTGTTTGACGAGCATGGGCTGCACAATCTCAAATCTTTGATTGATACACGTCTTCTCTGATTGTTGTCACAACTAAGCCTTATCTTGAAAATATTGTGGATCCATTAAAGAGAAAAATTCAAATATTTTTATTTGTGCTGGTTTATTTTCTACGAGAGTCATCTGAGTAAATACAGCTTCTGTTTGATGATAAGTAATGCTGAGGCATTAGGAATATAGGAACTGCTTTGATCCCCTGTTTAATATCCCTCTGCCTGTCCCTAGAGGCCATAGTGTTTCATGTCGAGGATGAAGATTAAAAGAGCACAAAAATAACAAGTTTACATGTGCATATCAAAATGAGGGAAAAATAATTAAAATAATAAATGAAACATCTAATCTGTGACTGTAAAGTTGAAATACTAACTATATACTATACTAACGATCGCTGCTCCTTCTGTCACACGGAAAAGGAAATAATTTCTTGTTTTGGGACTGTGATGTAATTCAATAACTTGGTGATGATGTGAGTGTGTATTGTCCAGAGTGGGCAGAATTGATACATTTTGGAGCTAAGGAGGCCACGTAAACAGATAAAGTGCTCAATTTACTTTCACTTGTTGGCAAATTCTGCATTTTCAGATCTAAATTAAAAAATGAACCCACTGTTTTCATGTTTATGATAAAGAAGATGTTTCTATGATAATTCATAAAAAATTATGTTGCTTTCAAGACAGGTTTTCAGCAGAAATTCTATGCAGTGACACAAACATTTTGAAAATAAGGAACAGTCTATACTTAATATAGTTTCACACTTTAGACTTAAATGTCTTTGACCAAGCATTTTCCAGCACTACACAGTTGTGATACATGCAGTATACATGTATTTACATTACCAGAGAGAAGCAAAAAAGAAATGTGTAAGATGTACTGACAAGTTGTGAAATATTCTTTTCATGTTATGGGCTGTCTGCTTCCGTGAGCTAATCTGTTTTGTGTGACAGGTACTTCTCTTTATATACAAAAAAGAAGCCCCTTTCCCTACCTGAAAAAAATACAAACTAAAGCATATTGCTTGAAACCCCACAAACAACCTGAAAGGAGTACATTATATACTTTATGGCATGAAATGGTGAAAAAACTGACATTAACATGGAACATTTTTACACAAAAAATGGCACCGCGGCAGATCATGCTACTTCACAAAAGCATTGCTCGAATAATTTCATTTATAGAAAATTGACTTGAGGCTGCACAAGGTCAAATTTAATTTTTGTCCCTTTTGGAAATAGAAGTCAATAGTAATCTTGGACTGAAAAGAACTTGACTAAATACAACTCCATGCTGCACTCCTTGTCACAAGTAATGAAACGCTTCCATTTTGGGCAACAGGAAAATGTCAAGAGGTATTAATGGACTTGCAAACTGTTTTCGAGCCCTGTTGAGAGTGCTTTTTGTTAGTGATATTATGCTAGGGCACTCGCTAGGAAGACTGTTCCAATAGATGCTATGGCTATCTTAACAAAATCTTTAACATCCAGCAGTCTCTCAGACAAAAATCAAGAAAGCTTGATATTGCGAGCTTCGATTCTCATACTTGAAAAACTTGCTTACAAAGTTATGGAAAACTTGATAACCTACTAAAATAATCTAAAGCTGAAATTTCGACGCAAAACTATTTTGAGATTTCTTATGGAAATAATTGTACTTGACACTTCCTTCCCAAGTTGTGAGTTTGGACGGCCCAGTAGTCATAGGTGCTGAATGTACTGTGCAGAGTTGTGTCCCTTCAACATGATTGAAATCCTATGATCATGAGTTTGAATCCCTTTTCACTAATTGTTTCTAGGTTTATCAGCACTATTCCCATGCTTGCACCATTTCACCAAAGTGTTAAACATCTGAGAAATGAATAGGGGTGAAACGGTATATCGTGGCATTAGTAGGACCGCAGTATTTTGCCTTTGGTTCTGTATACCGTAATGCAATCCAAAATTCGGCATTTACGGATTCCGCACCAGCATTTTATTAACCTTTCTAAACCTTTTCTAAACTGTCTAGAAATCAAATCATTTTGTCAAAATCTATGCATTTCTTAGCTAGACGGCTGCTATTTTCCCAGAAGTAAGTTCTCATATACCAATCCGAAACGGACCGAACCGAAGGCTTTGTACCACATTTCGTTCCGTACCGTGGTAAGAGCGACCGTTTCACCCCTAGATACAAACTACTTCAGGCTTACTTAGCATATTCAGCTGACACACCCTGATATCAATGGAACACTATTCAAAGAGGTGTTAAACCCCACTCACTCACTCAGTTCCCAAGGACCTGTGAAGGTCCGGGTTAGAATATTGATCTTCAGTAACCCATACTTGTCGTAAGAGGTGACTAACAGGATTGGGTGGTCAGGCTCGCTGACTTGGTTGACACATGTCATCGGTTCCCAATTGCGCAGATCGATGCTCATGCTGTTGATCACTGGATTGACTGGCCCAGACTCGATTATTTACAGACCGCCGCCATACAGCTGGAATATTGCTGAGTGCAGCATAAAACTCATCTCACTCACTCACTCAGTTCCCAAGATTAACGACAGCCATAGTGCTGAGGTTGTTTTGTGGAACAGGTTCCTCACAACACACAATTTTCACAACACACCTTAAAAACATCCCCAATGTCTCTGGGGCCCATCGTCCCCTATAATGAATGAGCGGCCCCGACCATCTCGGCTCAACAGACATTTGTTCAACTAATACCCCTCATCTACTGCTGTCTCAACACAAACTCCAAACAACATATCATCAGCTGTGATTAATGAGCCTGAGGTTTACCCCCCAAAAAACAAATTACCCATCACCAAACAAAAACATGTCTTTTTTCATCACAGAAGCCACGTATTGACTCTTCTTTCAAAGTGTTTTCAGTAAACAAGCTACAAAGAAGGGTCGCACCACTGATCAAGAAGACAATGGTATGATCAATCTTTTCTAAGTACTAAAGCATAGTCGATTACCAAGAAAACCTTCAGGGAAAAACATTCTTCATGCCATTATTGAACTCTGGGGTAGGAACATCCTATTTCGTTGTCAGTACTCCTATCACACTAGTTCATCTCAATCTCAAGGTCCATGCATCAAAAGGGTGGGTTTTTCAGTCTTGATACAGACAAAGGTTATACCTTCTGGCCAAACTGCTGAGCTGAGATTTTCGCATTTGTTGATTCATCAAATTATCTAGCTGTCTGATCCGATTCATCTTCCTTTGATAAAGACCATGGGCTTACGCATAGAGGCTTTGTTTCAACACAGAGATTAGAATTTAAAAGCCTATTTTAAAATCTTGGAATTTAGTGAGGTACAAATTGTATTGATCACTATTTCTGGTGTTACAAAATGATGAAATCTGTCTGGATGTATTGACTAGCCCAAGTAGCTATTTCTAAATGTCTGCATAGTGACAAAAATTCCACAAAAGCTGCCTATAATTATGCAATCAACTTCAATCAGGATAGTGAATTCTATTTTATGGCATTTTAACAATTCAGTTGCAATACATTAACATAGGGACCCCAGAACGGAACCTGATACAGTGTGGGGAATCAAACCCAGGTCTTTAAAGTGTGGAAGATAAAAACATCCTTCAAGGTGTAATGGCATCATGCTAGTGTTTCATGTCTGGACAAAAATGTGCTTCTAGGTGGTAAAATAGTATTCTCATATTTCATACTAAGAAAAAATGTACTTCACTGTAGAAAAATGTATTCATATATTTTAAGTCTTCATAAAGTTCCCTTCAAGTGAATATAAGAGAATGCAAGTTGTTCCGTTAAAGTGATAAAATTTTATTGTAATATCTCATGCCAAGATGAGAACAAGTTCTTCACAGTTGTAAAAACAATTCCAAGTCCTTTGTGGTTGGCAAAAATGTAAACTAAATTTTTCTGTCAGATAAAATTTTCCTTCATGGTGGTAAAATGGAATCCTAACTTTTCATGTTCAGAGTGTGTGAGTGTGTGAGTTTAGTTTTATGCCACACTCAGCAATATTCCAGCTATATGGCGGCGGCCTGTAAATAACAGAGTCTGGACCAGTCAATCCAGTGATCAACAGCATGAGCATCGATCTGCGCAATTAGGAACCGATGACACATGTCAACCAAGTCAGCAAGCCTGACCACCCGATCCCGTTAGTCACCTCTTACGACAAGCATGGGTTACTGAAGATCAATATTCTAACCCGGACCTTCACAGGTGTTTCATGTCTAGACAAAAGTTTCCTTCATGATGGTAAAATAGTATTCCAATATAAATCATAATTCCTCACCTTCACACTTCTCCCAGCCAGGGGGCAAAATCTCGGAGCTGCTCTCTTCGGACTCACTGGTACCTGATTCTTCTGTGCTTGCCTAAAAGAAACACAACAATAAACATCAAAATCTCCACTTTTCAAATTACTAAAATCAAACATCTTGAATAACACTGAATTATTCACGAACACATAATCACTATGAAAGAATGTGTGGGAGAGTTGTTCATCAACATCAGATCCTGAACCACAGTTCCTTTTCCCTCCTGAAAAACAATCCATATTACCCGAGACATAATTAAACATTAACCACGTGAAAAAATATATGATCCCCACCATTTGATTACTCACATCCTGAAAATGTGAGTCTTGCTTAATTTTGTAATGCAATTTTGGAATTTCTCGCCCGCAACCTGTCTGAGGTCCTAAAATAGGCTAAGGTAAATATCATAATCAACATTTAAATTAGACTGATTAGTTTCCACGAGGGTAAATGTCCATCAAGGTTTCGGTCTGCTGCTCTTGGCACCATGCCTGGAATCTGGCTAAACATCTAAATCCCATTTACGACAACAACAAATGACAAGAGCGTCAGCCGAGGTCTCCACAGACTCATTATGTCTGCTTGACAACGCACCGAGTCTAATTGTGTTTGGATTCAATATTTCACTCAGGACATACAAAAACATGACTATGTTCTTAAAGAAGACATATATTGGTAACTTCTGTTCCCAGTGACATGTTCGGTTTCTCTTGAATAATGAGGTGTAATTGAGGCATTTGTGGATGATCCATGTCAAAGGTTTTCTGTTATTTCCTGGAAACTTTGTTGGTTTAACACACCTGCCTATGTTTAGCTAGAAGAAGTATAAGCCCCTTAATGTGTCTTTGAAAAGAAATGAAATTGAACTCATTTCATGAAAAAAGATTTTTACAAAAAACACTCTAAAAAGAAACCTTCTTTTCATTAGGTAGAAATGACAGCCATTCTACAGAGTACGAAATTAAAATATATCATTGACAAGAGTAATTTTGAGGCATAGAAGGAATTATCATGCACTTTCAGACAGTTAAAGCTGTTTGTTCCAATATCATTGGCAGGTTAGTACATGCTTTCCCTTCTGATTGAAAGCCTGGAGCCGTCGCTGTTTTTCAATGATACATTCAAACAAAATTTTGCTGCAAATTTGCCTTTTACGTTCAATCAAGATTTGTTTCTTTAATTAATCATGACTGGCTATTCTGTTGTTTTTGACATTTTATAACTCTGTCATCGTATCGCATGGTGACAATCACTGGATTGTCTGGTCCAGACCTGATTTGTTTACAAACAACATCGTACAGCTGTAATACTGCTGAAACAAATACACACTCATGATATATACACAATTTGACAATTGACTCCTCTTTAGCAGAGATTTCTAATGAATGTGGAAAGGGTTTTGTCGCTTTTATTCATTTTACAATGTCTCATTCTTTTGTTTGATATTCATCCTTGTGAGGAATGAGGATATGAAGAAATCAAGGCATTATCAATGCCTGTTTTGTTGTGCTGGGAACAGACACTGACACAGGGAGCACATTCTTAAAGACAAGATTTCATCTTGTATTCCATTTGAGGGTCATTTCTTATCTGGACTGCAACATGCATCAAATTTCCATTCCCAGATTTTAATGACAAATTTCACTCCTGGTTTTAGTTATAATCAAGCAGGTTGTGACTGTGTCTTGAAGAGTCAGTGTAACAGAGTGTCATGTATCTGTAAATAGTCAGACTTGGTTGTATATGATCGAGATCGTATTCATGTTTTCATGACATGAAAACGATCTTGATCGTTTTCGGCTGAGGCTGACTTTTAGAGTATGTTTTCTCTGTGATTTGCTGAGGCAAGTCATTCATTCTTGCTGGCAACTTATGGATATTTTGATTTCAAATATATATGGTTGAAGATGCAAATAATATGATATAGAAATAGATTATTCCTGGTAAAATAACAGTTTTGGATTCAGTTTCTTACAATCACTAAAATTCTGTCCAGTTCAAATGTTAACATGTGGATTAGGGAGAAAATGTACCACAGCTCAATGCTGTTATGGGCTTAGCTAACAAGACAAAAACACATGATAAAAAGACAATAATTGAATACAATCTTTGTAAATAAAACACTACTTAACATTACGAAAACTGTTAGTCATCAAGTCTGATAGTGTTATATCACACATTTCCAAATATCAACGAAGGTGTCGTCTCTCGTTCATTCACCAGAAGCAACGTGATGTAATATCTTTCTGTGTACTATATATGGAACACCACTTACCGAAAATCGGATACTACAAACAGGTTGTAGGTTGGGTGCACATTATATGCAAGTAAATACAGAACGTCTCTCATGCTGAAGTAAACTCTTTGAACTGTCCTGATTTATTGCTAATTAATGGATCACATTCCTTTAAAACTAATGGATTATTTTGTCCTGCATGGTAAAGTAGCAGTGTTCCAGTAATCAATCAGTATTGATGATCATCGTATTTCCAGTTTGAGATTCAACGATTCATTTTATAGTTAATAACCATAACTGACTTTGGAAAGAAAAATATTGAATATCATTTTGAAAATTCAACCACTGATAATTCATCAGGTAAGAGGGTGAATGATAATACATCATTATCAGAATATAACATCACCAAAGATATATTCTTAGATTTTCACAACCTCGTTGGGGGCGGTGGGGTGGCCTAGTGGTTAAAGAATTCGCTTGTCAAGCCGAAAAACCCGGGTTCGATTCCCTACATGGGTACAATGTGTGAAGCCCATGTCTAGTGTCCCCACCGTGATATTACTGGAATATTGCTAAAAGTGGTGTTAAAACAGACTCACTCACTCACTCACTCACTCACAACCTCACTACCATACAGCATCACATAAGGCTATAAGGGTATAACGGTTAAGCTGGCGAAATGAAATAGAGGCAAAGATATAACTTGATTAATAAACTAATAATTTGGGAAACTTAAAATCATGAAAATATTCTTTTTGACAAATTGATATTAACCAATAATTAATGACTGCTTGAAGGAACAATCCATTAAAACCAATAACTGACGAAGAAATCCCAGCCAACTCTAAAAATGGAGTTATTTTTACTGTTAATTTGTGAAACATCTTACACAAATGTAACCAATTCTTTATCACTTAACGATGACGTGCCAATCTATTTGTAGATGTAGTTCATCTCTACTGTCGAGCATGGGACACTTTTATCTTCATCTGAAGCTACACCAGGAGATGATATTTTACTAAAGAAAACACATATGTTTGGATATAGAGCAATTTGTTTCATTTTGTCCTCTAAACTCTGAAACAGTTCAGCCGACTCTTTCTTAATACTATTAATAGTGAGAGATCACCACTGCATTTATCACCAAAACCTATTGCCATTCCCCAATGTATGTTCAATTCTTTAGAAACACTGTTTTCTTTGTCCCAACATTCCATTTTGTCCCTATAAAAACCCTCAATGTTACTTTTAAAAATCATTTTCATAATACCATTAAAATAATCTTAAAATCTTGACTGAAATCCATGAAATGAAACAGCATCTGTTAATATTTGGAACTCAAATAATACATGTATTTTCAACTTCGGTGTGAAAGTTATAATTTAAAGTCTCAAAAAGTTAGTTCATACTTTGTTTGAATTTTGAGAACCCAGTCAAGTCTTTCAGAAAAGCTTTGATAGCAATTTTTTTCAGTCTGAGAGAAATATTTTTTCAATTGAAAAAGAATTCAAATCCCTCTAGGAATCTAGGAATGGACCTTTGCAATACATTGGCACTCTTTGTTCCCTTAGAGACTATTGAAATTGGGAACAAATTCACCAGCAACGGATGTACAACTCGGAAAAATACATTCAAATGTCTCGAATACAGGTAAGCAAGAAAGGTTTACTTACATCAACATATTCTGAAAAACACTGACAGCAAATTGTGTACAACTCTAGAGATGAATGTGACCAAATGCCTACATACGTGGATGTACTTCTTGCACAAGCTTTCTTTAAAAGTTCCCACCACTGAACAACCTAATCATGTACAAAAGCATTTGCTTTGAGGTGAACTTACATGCACTAGATGATAGGTTTTTGCTACTTAACACTGCTGGAGTTGAACATGAACTATTGATACTGAGCTGCTGTTATTTTGGTGAAAAGCAGGATTGAAGCAATAGTTGGCAAAAATTCAATGCTTTGGTAAAAACTGAATATTACCCATTATTAGGTTCCGTGTACTTGAAAGGAAACTAGGAATATGCCAGGTTAGAATTTAGAATAATGTGTTTCCTTCATTTAGGATTCAGTGTATGAAACAAACAGGTGACTGATGCCCCAGCACTTTGAAAAATCTGATTGGCATGTGAAACTGTGAAGCCAGACCAACTGTCCATGGTGATTAGATTGAAGGATAAATCAGAAGTTTGTAGTAATGGATTTTTATCACTGTTCAGGCCGTGTTATCTTGTCTATTTGAGAACATCTATTAACCTATCCAGCTTAAAATACAAAAAGAATAAATTTGAAAAAGGTTTTTAATTTTTGCTCCAGATTGCTCTTGTTTGCAGTCTCCATTTAAAAATATTCAAAGGCTGGGGGAAACAGAGTCATACTTTCGAGGTGGAATCGCATAGTTATTAAGGCCAATGCACTTTTGTGTTGGATGGTTTACCTACCAGGATTTTGGTTATTAGAATGTATAAGCATTTCTTAAAAGCCAAATAAATCATACTGATACTTCTTGGAGTCATAAACTACTGATAATTATTGACCTGTGCTTGGTTCAGTACGGTATTTAACAGTACTGTCTATCTTACCACGACCCATAATATAGCTTGACACTGAAGGACGATGGTTGCACTAAGATAATAAGGATATGGCTTAATTTCATTCCGACAGTTAAAGAACACACAATTCTCTCATATTACTATAGTTAATCTTCAGTTATGCCAAAGAATTGTGTCCCTTAATATTTATTGCACAACCTTTAGTAACATTACAGTAAAGCTCAACAAATTTGTGAAAGCGCCATAGAATAGATTCAACAACAGTACGGTGATAAATATTCCACAACAATGAGAAAATAAGAGCTGGGGCTCCAAATTACAATTGGCTGACAAACCACTGGGAACACGTCTTTCAGGCCTGGAGGACCTATCGGACATGAAACTCCTCGTCCATAATGGCTTCCATATCCGAATGTCTATAACTGTAGTTTAAGTTACGAATGAGAAGAACATTTCAGTGGTTACTGAAACATCTCTTAATAACCAAAGGGACTACAATCATCCAAGACATCTGTCATAAAACCAACAATTAAGTATTTTCGCCTCATGTTCCCGAGGATTGCTAATTGATCCGATCAACACACTGCTCATGTCTAATCATGTGGAAATCAACAATTACCAGTTGGATATTAACATCCCCCATAACCAGACCTTGCAAATTAATTAGGATCAATTTGGTTAGATTACATTTAGGACAAATGAGCCATTGTGGGCCAGTAATCTGTAATTGATGATTTGGGAGATGGTCATTTAGAAGAACAATAACATCTGTTTAGGAGGCTGGGCTGATGAAGGATTAATCAAAGGACCAGCTGTGCTTGGAGAAATTAACCTTAACGATTAAGATGTTGTCGGACAACTGTACAGAAAATGAAAACATTCACAGAATTTGACCATTATATTCGAGAGATTCGTTTAACAAGATCATCTGTTGTTATTGAGATGTATGACCCTCCGCCATTTTTGACAGATTTGCTCTTACAACTCTCAAGAAACTGATGGAATGCATTGTGTTATATGCAGCATTTAAGATACACTAAATTTTCTTGGTTCTTAATTACAACTAAATCATATCTGATCAGAGTGGGTGAGTGAGTGAGTTGGATTTTACGCCGCTTTTAGCAATATTCCAGCAATATCAGAGCAGGTGACACCAGAAATGGGCTTCACACATTGTATCCATGTGCTGATTCCAACCTGGGCCTTCAGCATGAGGAGTGATAACTTTAACACATAATCGGGTGTATGAGGTGAGGTGAAACTGGGTAACTTTAACAATATAATTGGGTGGTGTGTGAGTCACACCAGCTGAAAGCCCACTGAGATACCATGCCGCAGTGAAGCATGAATACCCCACTCAGACATTATACTGACTCGTCTTTAATTTAAGGCAATACCATATTTTAGCGTCTTTTTGGTATGGCCACAATGAATTATTTGTCCTTGAGATATTAACATCTGCTGAGAGAATTTATGCCAAAATCAGTTTTTTCAAATGGAATTTGGCCAAGAAGTATAACTTAGGTTTCAGGCAGAACTACATATAACTTTTTGGGTCATTGAGTTATGTACTTGCTGGTGTTCATCTCAATTGGGCATCCTAAGTTTCCTTTGAGTCTCCAAATAAATTGTACCAACCTCACTCAAACTCAATTGGGTATTTTGCCATTTTCCATTAATTGTAAAAATATACTAAAGTTTAAATGTTGGTTTACGTGTTTGTTATTCATATTTGATCTGCAATATGAAAAACTATAAGAAAGACTGTAAGTTGCCAAGTTCATGTGTTGAAATAGAAAACCTCAATACACCTCAGTTATATTATCTATCCACTGGTACGCAAGCTGAGATTTGACATGTTTGTGTCTACGCATGTAAGATGAAATTTATTGAGTATTTACAAAATTTCAAGTGCACCTGTATGCAATAGTCTCAAAAGGAATTGAGTTTTCATATAAATATTTGCATAATTTACGGAGATATGCAGCTTATCTGTACCTCTGCTTCAGGTGTACTGAGAAAGTTCAATAATGGTCAGATAGCTGATTCCCATCCACTGATTCACCCACCTGAACTATGTATAACAGAGATCAATTGGTACAACACCTCATGTGCTATATATTTACATCAGTGGATAAAGACTGCATGACAAGAGGAATGGCTCCAACTTGCCAACAGTCAACTTTCTCTTCGTGCTGAGCAGTATTTAGCAGCTCCACTCTTTGGGGTCTACATTTCACAACTTTTGAGATACAATTGAGGTTTCTACAAAATCTTTAAGAACGTCATATGACTTGAGCTCCCAACCAGGGCCTAGATTTTCGAAGCTCTCTTAGCGCTAAGTGTCTGTGTGAGTTTGGTTTTACGCCGCTTTTAGCAATATTCCAGCAACATCACGGCGGGGGACACCAGAAATGGGCTTCACACATTGTACCCATGTGGGGATTCGAACCCGGGTCTTCGGCGTGACGAGCCAACGCTTTAACCACTAGGCTACCCCACCGTCCCTCTTAGCGCTAAGATAGTCGTAAGTTAATGTTAATGTATGGCACTTACGACTATCTTAGCACTAAGAGAGCTTCGAAAATCTAGGCCCTGGGCTACAACATTCAAGGCTGCACTGTAAATCTTTCCAAAGTCTTACAAAACATGAGGTGAATTCCATATTTCACACAGAAGTGACCAAAATAATAATCGATGTCATTCCCTATTTTGGTTTGCTCTGCATTTTCCCATGACTTTTCAGGTGAAGAATTTACCTTCCTTTGCATGTGTTTGTGATGGGTGCCATCGGTGGGATGGAATATTCTTCTGCTTTCAAAGACACCATAAAGTATCACTATTTGAATATCTGAGAGTGATTCATCAATACACGGTCATAATATAGCCAGATTTGTACCACACACTGCTTTTCGTAGATATTTCTCACAATTAGGAAATTACCGTTTGTCCCTTTTTATTCATTTAAAAACAATTAATACTGTCCCTGTCCAGAATAAACTAAAATTTTTGTCAAAAGTATTTCAACTATGGAAAGCAAAAATAATTAAGCTTATATCAGTATTGACATGGATACATGATGATGTTTATATAGTTCTTGGGTCGATAGCGTATTGGGCATAACTGATAAAATAAATTCAACACTGTTGGTTTTGAGATCAAGTGAACACCTCACCTCTTCCTCTGAAGAATCCTTCTGTGGTTTGTCCACCACAAGTTCATCCTCATTGACCGGTCCCGACACATGACTCACACCATCGTCCGAGCGGGCATCCGAATGGATACCACTGTCATTGGAGTCTGGGGAGTTGATCATGGTGCTTTCCTCGAACCTGAACAAGCAGAAATGAATGTGCCAGTTTTAGCCTTATTTCAGAAAAACTACAGCTATATCCGTCAAGGAACACCACAGCAAGCTTTAGACACTGAAACATTATGCAATTTGACCTGGGTTATACTCTCCTGAAAAGCACCCTGCTCCAGTGATTAGTTACCAAATTAAGCTGAAATTGTTTCTTGACAGATTACTTTTCAAACTCATGATGCCAGAGCCAGCCATAACTGCTTTCCTTTTTCAGAAACTTTGAAATGTGAAGATTTTCATCTAATCTAAGACGCTAAATATTGACATCATGAAAAATTTCCGTTCACAAACTTCTGATGTACTCAAATGTGTGTAAGATTATACAACCAAGGGTTGTTTATTTTAAACTGATCAATGGAACATTTAACATTGTAATACATTTCTTACTTTTCTTCTGGAGCCTTTTCCTCAAGAGGAGTTTCCTCATCTTCCACAACTTCCAAGCCATCATCAGGACTGTCAGGGCTGTCGACTTGTGTGTTCTGTCGCTCACGGGCCTTAGCCTCCAGAAGGGAGTAATACCCCATGAACCCCTTTGGTTTGGAAGGGATGTTGGTGTAACAAGTGACCTCATCATCTTCCTTGATCTCGCTCCCTTCCAGCAGGTCATCCGACTCATCAAAATGTCGACGTCCATACGTCTCATCGTCGCTGTTCTCATCGCTGTCTGGCGAGTTCAGCTTATCCAGAATGAAGGTTTTATCCGGTGACAGGAGTTTGACAGGGCTGGTGATGATGCCCATGTCGGACAAGTCCATGTTTGCATATTTCTTCCGGTTCAGGGTCACCTTGGTATCGGTGAGGGAAAGGTTCTTGTCGTTTTCGCTATTGACGTTTTCATCCTCGCTGTTGTTGTTGTTATTGTTGTTGTTGGACAGGTTGGAGTTGAGACGATCTTCAAAATGGTAGTTGGGGTTGGCAAAACTCAGATAGGTGGCATCAGAGTCTGAAAATAAACCAAATCAATGAAACTCATGCCAAAACTAGCATCCTTGTCTCATACTGGTAAAGCTTAATAGCCTAAAAAAGTAACTTGTTCATCTTTGCATAACATCCTTTGGCTCTGATGTACGATTTGGTCTGAATTCTCTGGAGAAAATAAAGTTGATGATAATAATTCATACGAAAGGAACTGTTGCGATTATCATGGAATACCCTATTTTAATATGAATATTTGTTAGGACATTTCTTCAGCACATGCAAAACTGATGAATATACCAGCATGCTTTTTCATCTGTTTTCGCAAGATGAAAGATAGAATAAGAAAAATGCTAATGTCTGCTATTGTGAATCTGACAAGCCATGTTTATGACAGTCCCCCGAGGGAAGAAACATGTATCCATGATTTTTTAAACACTTCAGCTTTTAAGCATGTATAAAGGGATGATGAAAGAAGAAACCATCAGTTTTCCAACATGAAGCTGAAAATACCTCAACCATATTAAAGCCAGAAATAAATGAATTTTTGGAAGATGGAAGTGACACCATTGACAACAACCCAACTGCACCAGCTAATAAAGAAACTCATTTCATTTTATCCATTTTGTCCTCCCACTCCAAATTGGCAAGCACCCTGAAGACTGATATTTTAAAATCAATACTGCATCTTCATATGTTGCTCTTGAAACATGGATAATAGAAAAGCAAAGAGCAAAAAGTAGCTGCAACTACCACAGACATATGATGGCACAAAGTAATGTCTATCATGAGCATTGGATGAGTGGTTGAGTGTGGTTTGACAACTTTTAGCAATATTCCAGCAATATCATGGTGGGTGACACCAGAAATGGGCTTCACACATTGTACCCATGTTGGGAATCAAACATTAGGGTCTTCAGCGTGACGAGCGAACGCTTTAACCACTAGGCTACCCCAACGACCTGAGCATGGGTAACAAAAAAAAGGAATCTACTGACACATTACACAGTGTCATGCTTTTCTTCCACAATGTCAACTATTCTATAAGAACTTGGGTCAAGTGTCAGGTCACTTTGCCACAAACGTGACTACAATAAGGTATGGCTTTTCAACAAAGCTATCAACACAAGCTGACAGAAAAAACACAACACATCAAAGGACCAGCCAGAGTGGTGGTGATGAGAAGTTTGGGCTCTATTTTCATACAGACAGATGCCGTTGATAATAAATGACACTTTAAAATGAATCCTTTTCGGACAACGATGGATTTCCATTCCAATTTAAAGAGCACAACCGATTCATCTGCAAATCGGTAATCCTAAATCACTATGCTTCCTCAGTTTATTTCTCTATTTTCAATGATTAATGAACATGATGTTTTCCCCCTGTCCCTCACTCCATCAATCATAACATGCTACCATCGAACCAAAGCACAACAAATCTCCAGCTGAACAGGAAAGGGTTGCTCTACCATCCTTCCCACTCCACTACAGTGCCAATTTTGGTTTTATTCCCTTTGGTCACCTTTGGCTATTTAGCCAATAGACACAATTTCTGATAACACGAACGTGAAACTCAGTGAGTAAGCGCCGATTGGTCATTTATAGCCGAGAGCGTGAAATTGCTCACCTTTAGCGATGGCGTAATAGACAACAGGTCGGACGAAATGACAAGTTGAGTGTTTCTGTAACGACACTGCAGGACGTATTAGACCACTGGATGACTCACAGAGTCAGATTACATTTAACCCTCTATGGTTTATAGCCTTCCGAAGGAGAGGGAGATTAACCACGTGACAATAAAAGTCACTCAGTCACAACTAATGTGTCACTTGTCCTCAAAGAAGTATGATGGCATGGAACTGCACTTCATGGGATCTCCACGGCCACTCCAGAAGCTGTTGTGTTCTGATGACTGCAGCAAGGAACTGAAGTAACTGCTGGGCAAGCTATTGGTATTCAAATTTTGCCTTTCATGGCAGTCTGTAATTCGATAGTCAATGTGCTGTGACAGAATTGATGCCACTCATGAAATATTACCTGAGGAGTGAATGCACTGAAGACCAACTTTCTTTGAAACAGGAACAAAAACAAGAACAAGAACATATTGTTGGAATTGGGATGAGATTTTAGAACACTATCAGAAACAATGGGTATGCACTGAAAGGTGAGGTGAAATTGGGTTTAAGGTCGTGCTTGAGAATATTTCCCTCATATGACGACGTGCATGCGTGTGTATGTGTATGTGCGGCTGCTTGTTCGAGCCCAGACTTAAGCTGGTTTTATAGTGCTAGCCCGCTGAGATACCATGCCGCAGTGAAGCATGAATACCCCACTCAGACACATTATACTGACTCCGAGCCAACCAGTCCTTGTTGTACCCATTAATGCCGAACGCCAGACAGGGACCAACAAGTACCATATTTTAACGTGTTTTGGTATGACGCGGTCGGGGATCGAACCCGCGACCTTCCGCTCTCCGGGCGGACGCTCTAACCACTACACCACGGAGGCGGTCGGTATGCACTGACAGCACCAGTACATCATGAAAATGTTCGTAATGAATAGAAGCAACAAAACCCTTTTAACATCCAAGAAATCTCTGCCAAAAGCAGAGTCACTGTACAATTGTGACTACATCATGAACATAGATTTGTTACAGCAGTATTACAGATTATGATGTTGTTGGAAACAAATGGAGTCTGGACCAGACAATCCAGTGATTGTCACCATGCGATAAGAAGACAGAGATGTGTTTATGAATCACTATGAAATGCATTGATGTCCCTTTAACTACTTGTACGGCTTCAGTCTGTCATTCAATCCTCAAATGTGTGAGTTTTGTCTTATGCTGCAGGTTCCAACATTTCATCTACATGGACTTTCAGTCAGGTGATCCAGAAATAAAAGAAATTCCCCAAAGAAAAAGTTCAGATTCTGTTTTACTTAACACAATCTCCTCAAACCATACATCCACTTGAAGTATTGGAATCACTCTCAACACATAAGAACAGCATTACGGTAAACCAAAACAGACATTTTGCAATGAAAAAGGCCTGTGTTTCGGAACAAGTCATCAAAAGCGTATTACATTATCAGAAATTGACACGCAAATCAAGCTAAATCACATCTGAATGCCAACTGACTGTTTTTAAACCTATATTTGTCTTGGCGTGGATATACAGCCTGTCGTAATAACTCATGTTAACTGTCAAGGCAGCGGCCAATAATGTCAGAACAGGCCCACTCCAACACAGGACAATCTCGTTAGGGCTCATAATATACGCCCAGACCAAGACTTGTCTGCATCAGTGGTTTGCTTTGTAAGCGTCAGTTGAAATGCTGGTGCTTGCAGGCAATATTATGTTTTTCCAAACTGACAAAATGTCATTAAGCACATAATTATCCTGTTCAATTGTCTGGACTAGCAACTAACTAAGGATTCACTTGCAGTCACACGAAAAAAATTGGAACTAGGGAAAATGTTGAGATTAGAGTAAGCCTTCCCCTACACTGAGTGAGTTGGGTTTTATGCCGCTTTTAGCAATATTCAAGCTATATATGGCAGCAGTCCGTAAATAATAAAGTCTGGACCAGACAATCCAGTGATCAACAGCATGAGCATCGATCTACGCAATGGGGATACAATGACATGTGTCAACCAAGTCAGCAAGTCTGACCACACGATTCCGTTAATCTCCAGCATTATCACTGTGGGGGACCCTTCCTTTACAGAAATTCTGCAGGTGTACTTTATTGGAAATGCCCAAATTGAGAAGGATTACAAGAAAATGGTTATGACTGTACTATTACAATGTTGATGAGGAGGACTAGAATGGTGGTTGTTCATGATGATGGCAAGGGAAGAGATTGATGGAAGTATTTATAGACATGGTCAAGATGGTGTTGGTTTTCAAGAAATTTATTGTGAAATATAGCAGTATATAACTGATGTCATATTAACATGAAAAATGATTATGTAAACCAATTTTGTTTTTATCTGTGAGTAATACTCACGGATATTATACTTGTGAAGTGTAACTCCAAGCTTGAAATATTTTGCACTTTTCCAGTTACCACAATGACATTGTCTAAAAATAATTCTCAAAATCCCGAAAAATGTTTCTGTAAATCCCTTTACAGATGCTCCTGGTAGCAGGGGGACACAACCCTATACAGAGAGATCCATGGTAACAAGTAACGGTAAACATTTCTTGACATGTCAAAAACAAAGATGGCTGGCAAGTAACTCTTTCCAAATAAGCTTCAAGCTTCCCCTCGCCATTTCAACTGTCAACCACAAGGCAAATGATCCTAAAAATGCCAGCCATTTTTTTTCAGCAAGTGACAGTCCGGATTAGACAACTATTTATGTCATGCTTCAGCCACACAGAAAATGGTGAGCTTGCTGGGCGCCGTGCTGCCAAGTTTACTGGAATCAATGATGACTCTCAGATGGAAGTGTCACTTTTAATTAGCATATCATGTTTAACTACACAGGCATATATACCACTGATCAATTGAAAATTCTTCATTTAAACCACACATAGTTTCTATTGGTCAGACAGACACACAAATAGCAAGCTGGCTGTATAAAATCATTAAATTAAATTTTAATTTAAACTATAATTTTGAACAATGAAGCTGAACGGGTGTTCAGTGTTATGCCACTTTTCACAATATTCCAGCAATATCTTGGCAGGGGACACCTGAAATGAGCTTCACACATTGTACACATGTGGGGAATCATCGTGACGAGCGATGGCATTAACCATTAGGCAATCCCACCACCCCATGTGGATGATCACAAGGAACCTCAAACCCAAAATATATGTCCATGGTATGATAAAGTGTTTTTTAACATGCATAGGATGAAGTCTGCATTGAAAAATGATTACAACATCTTTTGTCGCTACTTGGGTACTGCGTCATGTTGCTTAAATTTTTGCTAAGTAGGCATATATTTAATTTTTATTCTCACAGCTTCTTGATAAATGGGGCGGTGGGGAAGCCTGGTGGTTAAAGCGTT